CCAGGAAAGGAGGACCAAGAGTCATCTCTGCTGCAAAGGTTAAGTTCATCCGAGTGACCCTCAGAAATCGCCGGTTACCAGCAGCTCAGATTAGAGACCAGGTCAATGCCACAGAGCACAAAAGCATGTAGGAGGAAGTGTGATGGTGCTTTGTTGGTGACACTGTCGGGGATTTACTGAACCAGCATCTTGCAGCAGCATGCTATTCCATCCGGTTTGCATTCTGTATCATTTATTTTTCCAATAGGACAATGACCTCAAACACACTTCCAGGGTGTGTAAGGGTTATTGAGTCAAGTTCTCCACAGTCATTGGACCTCCAATCAAGATGGTTTTGGGTGAGCTGGATCGCAGAGGGAAGGCAAAAGGGCCTACAAATGCTAAGCATCTCCTTCAAGACTGTTGGACGACCATTTCAGGTGACGACCTCTTAAAGTTCATCAAGAGAATGCCAAGAGTGCAAAAAAAAAAAAAAAAAGGCAACTTTGAAGAAGCTAGAATATGACATTTTTAGTTGTTTCACACTTTTTTGTGTGATGTATTTAATTCCACATGGGTTCCTTCATAGTTTTGATGCCTCCAGTTTGAATTACAATTTTCATAGTCATAAAAATAAACAAAACTTTTTGAATGAGGTGTCTAAACTTTTGATCTGTACTATATATATAAATAAATAAATAAATAAATAAATAAATAAATAAATAAATAAATAAATAAATAAATATATATATATATATATATATATATATATATATATATATATATATATATAGAATCTATATAAACATTATATATACACATATAAGTATCAGGCCAAGGGCTTAATTTGTGGAGGAAAGCGCCAGATCCGGAATCTCTAAAATCTGATCCGGCACCTCATTTTACTGATCACCGTCCGCTGTTCACTTTCGCGACTACCCAACCCTCTTCTTCACTTTTGTCTGTGATAACTAGTTCAAATTTTGTCTGTTTGACGCGTCATCTGAGCATCTACCACAACCAGGTCCAACAAGAAAAAGTTAAGGAAAAATTGCTAATTCCCTTCAAAAGCCAAGTGAACAAAAGCACATTTTCTGACCCACTAAAGGCTTCTTTCTCATCATGTGGTTAATAACAAAATATAAATTACGTTTGGTTGTAGGATGCATACCCGTCAACACTGGGCTGTGAAAATAAGGGATATACCCACCATAATAATGGATAAATCTCCAAATTACTAAATATGTTCTTCTGGGGCTGTTTCATTGTAAATAAACAGTTAAACCGTCAGTAATATGTTTTATTATTATTATTATTTACAAATGAAAAAAATAAATAGTATACATTAGTAGCAAATAAATTAGCAAACAGTTCAGATAATGTAAATTAATAGGTAATAAAAGAAATAAAATCAAGCTATCAAATCTCATTAGCCTTTCTTCACTGTATAACTTTCTCCTTCTGATTAAAGAGCAACCAATGAATCTCTTATGTATTTGGAATTTTAGCTTGTTTACATTTAATAACAGAGGTGTCATTTTAAAAATGCACAATGACAGCATTCGATTGCTTTTCCAACTTTTTATACTCATTTAGGACAAAATATAATTATGTTTGAAAAAACAAAAAAATTATGTTATTATTATTATGTGTATATGTCTGTTCAATTACGCACCCAAAACCCAGACTTTTGCTCTATTTCAAATCGCGTAAACAGAATCCGTTTGGGAAACAGCGTGTATTTATCACTATGGAGCACATCAGCTGACAGTCACGCACTGCTAAATGACTGTTTTGAGGATTGCATAGGAGGGGCGACGGCACCTGTAATGAAAAGGAAGGGAATCCCGCCATTTTTATATTTATTTAAAAATGTTTTCATGCCTAAATAAAGTGGAAGCACAGAACAGACTCACATTTAAAGGGCTAAGAAACCCCCCTGTTTAAGCCAGGTTTTTTCACACCTCTACTTTGGAAAAAGTCAGGAAAGTGGGCGTGTCCAGCTCTGGTCCGTAAAAGGTCCGTAAAAATTTGCATAAAAATGGGAGTGTCGGTTTGGGAACGCGCTGATTTTCACAGAGGCAAAACAAACACAGACGCAGAGGAGAAAGACAGAGACTGTGTTTACATGGACATCAGTAATCGAATTATTTGCCAAATTATTAAATGGTGGACTTTAACTGCAGTTTGGCTCTTTCGTTCAGGGATTTCATTCATGCCCCTTGTGACAAACGAGATATTTGATTTGCATGAAAAATACACGCTTCCAGCAACTCCTAAATGTTCGATAAGGTACAGCGAATGAGAGAAAAAATAAAACCTCTGCATTTCCCCTTAACTTAGATGCCCTCGGTAGGTGGTGTCAGAAAGCGGAGTGTGTTATTCCGGTCACAAAATGTGGCGAAAATCCTCAACGACGGTAAGTTTGGTTGTTTGGACAATAAGTTTGCACTTGGGAGAGCAGCATTTACAGTCCAGAATATTGTAGTGATGTTAACAAATCGTACACTTAATTAACTCAGAAATCATTTGAATAAAGTCCGTCTTTAAACACTGAAAGAATACTGCTGACGATATTAACTAACTTTGCCTCTGAATTAACAAACAAAGACCACTGATCGCTCACTTACCAAATATGTAGAGACCGGACAAACAACACCAACTGGATCTGCGTCTTTATTAAAAGGAGACGAGCAGCAAATCCAGATTTCACCATTTTCAGATGTGACAAGCTCTCGGGTAAACAATGTTCCTTAGACACGCATTTCTGTCGAGTGTCGTGTGTACTGGTACTGTAATCCACACGTGAGTCCAGCTGCACTCTCATAGAGAGAAAATGAAAACAAAACCTTCACTGCAGCAAATTATAAAAGCAACACTGACAACCCGTATCTCCAAACAGTTCATGTTCTCCCACTTGGCAACACAACGTGTCGTCTCGCTGCCGTCTGAACACTGTAACCGGTAAAAACTGGTCTTGGAAGCTATCATGCAAATGAATATGCATAATGAAGTTGCACCGCATACACAATAGAGCGTTCTGATTGGTTTGAACAAAGTCTTACTCATGAATGAATGCAACACACTCAGAGACGTAATAAGGAACTCCCAGGTACAGACGTCCAGTCTACATGCTGGAATACACGTTACGATCTCATGGCCGTGACACAGCTTCAAAAATTTGTTTCAAACCGGAAGTACAAATTTGCTCAAAATAACGCAAAAACAACAAATATATGTGACCTAATAGTGTTTTTAGCAGTGTGGGACACATATACGACTGTCAACAGTTCAAAAAATGCGTTTTGGTGTTTTGTGACCCTTTAAAAGCAAAGGGCGGCCCCTAGTGGTTCGGTGGTATGGGTTGCGTATAGGGAGGATCGGCTCTTTAAAGGGTCACGAAACACCAAAACACATTTTTTGAGCTGTTGACAGTCTTATATGTGTCCCACACTGCTAAAAACACTATTAGGACACATATATTTCACTAAAAAGTGTAAATTGGTTGTTTTTGCGTTATTTTTAAGCAAATTCGTACTTCCGGTTAGAAACGAATTTTTGAAGCTGCGTCACGGTCATGACATAATAGCGTGTATTCCAGCGTGCAGACTGGGCGTCTGTGCCAGTGTGTTGCATTCATGCATGAGTAAGGCTTGGTTCAAACCAATCAGCGCGCTCTATTGTGCAACTTCATTAATATTCATTAGTGTCACCGTGCTTAGACTACAGACACACCACGTTGTGTTGGAAAAACAAGCATGAAGTGTTGCTTTTATAGTTTGCTGCAGTTAAGTTTCGTTTTAATTTTCTCTCTGTGAGAGCTCAGACTCACGTGTGGATTACAGTGTACGCGACGCGCGACAACAATAACTTACGTGTTTAAGGAGGATTATTGTTTACCTGAGAGCTGTTCTCATCTGCAAACGCTGAGATCCGGATTCGCTTGTAGTCTCCTCTTCATAAAGACGCGGCTCTAGTTGCTGGTGATTGTCCTGTCTACAGATTTGGTAAGTGAGCGACCAGCGCTCTTTGTTTATTCAGTTTGTTCGTATCGAACTAAGTTAACTATTGCACCGAGTGTAAACATGTTAGCACCACAACCAAACTTTAACCTCGTGTAGGGTTTTTACCGCATTTTGTGACCGGAATAACACACGCGGCTTTCTGACGCTATCTGCCGTGTGCATCTAAGTTTCCGGGAAATGCAGTTTTTTTTTTTCTCTCATTCGCCGTGCGGTATCAAACATTGCATGAAAAATACATGCTTAGAGCAGATCCTCGAATCAAATATCTTGTTTGCCGCGAGGGACATGAATGAATTCCCTGAATGAAAGAGCCAAACTGCAGTTAAAGTCCACCATTTAATAATTTGGCAAATAATTCGACTACAGATGTCCATGTAGGTTAAACACCATCACTTTCTCCTGTGTGTGTATTTTGACTCTGAAACTCGCCCGTGCCCAAATAGACACTCCCACACCCTCCCACTTTAGTTCCTCCGACACTCCCCCCTAAACAGAGCTGGACACGCCCACTTTTCTGACTTTTTCCAAAGTAGAGGTGTGAAAACACCCTGCTGAAACGAGGGGGTTTCATGGCCCTTTAATGCCACCCTTTAGAGAAAGACTGAAAATACGGGAGAAATACGAAAAAATACCCTTACGGGATGATAGCGGGATAGAACTGTAAAATACGGGAGAATCCCAAGAAAAAAATGGGAAGGTTGACAGGTATGGTGAGATGTAGTTTGTGGACCAAGACAAAGTTGTCAGTGATTCTTCCTCTTGTTAAGTCATACAGTGTGAAACCCCTGTCGTCGATCCATCTTGCAGTGTAAACACATGCTAGCCCAGATAGTCATGCAGTGTGAAAACATCTGTGAGGCCACTACTTTGAAAATCATGCAGTCTGAACTCGGCATAAGGGGTTAAAACATGCGCTCAATGAAAAACAAAAATCAGAACTGACCATAAAAAAATTAAAAAAACGCAGTGCACCCTTACAGAAAACAAAGCAACAGATTCAGACAATTCATTTATTTTCTACCAGTTACAGTAACCACCGTTGACAATATTATTTACAAAACTGTCAGTTCACAGTTAACCGCGTCACGGTGAGCTAAAACGTCCACTGGTTGTCAATCCAACATTATCTGTAGTCTTCTACCACACATTCCTAAGACAGACGTTGTATATATATTTAAATATATAAAATGCTTTCAAATCGTTGAACTCAAACCTGAAAAATGCAAAGCCACTTTACGTAATTACACTTGAAGCTCGTATCAGAGAGGATACGAGGACATTCTGTTCCTTTAGGCACATCAGAGCGACTCTCTGAAGTCTTTAAAAGCTTTAGCCCTGAAAGTTTTGCGAAGTGATTGTGAAGCTGTGTGTTGTGCCCCAGTGACGGTAATAAAAACGCTGTGTTAATACTGAAATCACATGCCGTTGTATGCTGGTCCTCCGCTGCCCTCGGGCACCACCCAATTGATGTTCTGGCTTGGGTCTTTGATATCACAGGTCTTGCAGTGAACGCAGTTCTGAGCGTTGATCTGTAATCTCATGCCATCACCCGTCTCCAGAGGAACATACTCGTACACACCTGTGGGACAGGAGAAACAGTGTGTTAAAGAAACACTATGCTTTTTTAGGCACATTTAACGACTCCCCTAGTTTGAGCATAAAGGTGCGGTATGTAAGCCTGACACCCAGGGGTTGAACTAGGTATTGCACTCAGGTTCAAAACACACGCAAGAGCAGGTTGCCAGATGGACGTCACCAACAGAAATGTGCCTGACTATCAAGTCTAAAGGCTGATTTGAGTCGTGTTTTATATAAAAGCAGAGGCTTATAGAATTAATTAGAGAGAATAGAATTAATATTTTCCTATATATTAAGTTTTTGTTCTAATCCAAACCTAAAATTCATATAATAGAAATAATTTATAATTTATAATAGATCATTTATATATTAATATATTGGATATATTATTTTTATTACTGTTTTTTCCTAAAATTATATAAATATATATATCTGTAATATATATAACAAATCTGATTGGCTGATAGCCGTGCGATATTCTGCAATATCTGCACCCGTACAGCCTCTTTACCATTTGTGTATTACTCCGCCCACATACAACCGGCAAAAAGCAGACACTACAGATCTAAAGTTTAAAAGATGCACCCTCAACTGTTTAACTGTCAGCTTATGATTTGAATCTGGAAGAAAGTAGTTCCTCATACAAAAGGGTTTTTGAGACTCTTCAGGTTTGATTTTGTTTTTATATACACAATTATGCCGTCAAACTATTGTATAAACACAATATCTCACTCGTAGCAGTGCGATAGGGCTGTATATCGGAACTGGTGGGGGCACTAAGGCCCCTAGGGCAACGCACGCCTTCCACCAGTGCCGATATACAGCCATATCGCACTGCTACTCGTGTGATACTGCTTATATATATATATATATGTATGTTTTTTTATCTTTAATGTAAACTTTATAAATGCTTTAGCAATACATCTGTAACATTTGTCATGCCAATAAAGCAATTACTGAATTAAATTATTGAATTGAATATTTTCTATTTCTTGCAGCTGAAAAGCAGAATAAGCTGACAATGATCTCCTCAAGTACACCTCATGTGCTTTATTCAGTGTTAATGGCTAATAATGCGAGTTTGAATGCTATTTTAAGTGACATTTATTGCCATACTACTGAAAGCAGCAGCAGATAGTTCTCCTCAGATCTTGAAAATAAAAAAAAACGTTTAAAATGAAATTTTTAAAACTGTGACTCAGTGCAAACCAACACGTCAGTGATTCAGCATCTACATTTAATCATGTTAAAGAGGTTTAATATGTATTAATTAGATGATAAACCTTAGCATTTGATGAGTGAGAGCATACTCTGTGCTACTGAATGAGTAGACCAGAGGTCGCATTTCAGTTCCTTCATGACTGATTGAATAAAATATGCTGTTTTCCATGAAGGCAACCCGGGGTGCTGAAATATAATTGGCTAAACTGGCATTGGGTGGGTTAAAAAACAAAAAACAAAAAAAAAAACAGACATTCCAGCACATTTTTACAGCAGAATATCTGACTTCAGCATTGTTTTTCAGATAAACAAGAATGTTCACTGAGCATGCTTCTTAAATATCTGCAAACATATTATAATATTTTTATGCTTTAGAAGAGTCAAAGACTTGCATACAGCACCTTTAACCATTGTTGAATCCATTAAAGAGTTCCTATTGTTTTTTTTTCTTGAATGAGCTTCCATGCAGTGTGTAACACAACTCTAAGTGAATAAAAACATCCAGCTAAGGTTTAAATCTGAAAGTGCACTGTGTTTAAAACTATTGATTCTCAAAAATAAGAGTTGACTTTGAGTCATTTATAATGAACCGTGTTTGATTTCAAATTTATTGCCATTTTGCGTTGGTATTGATATGAAATATCGCCATATATGAAGTGCAAGACCCGAGAAAACTTAAAACCACTAGCAGAGTGCAGGGATGGGATTGATCATGACTGAAGATGAGCGATCACTCATTAAAGTTCATTTTCACAACAAAATCACATAGCCAAGCCAGCCTTGTGCTGTGTTTGTTCCTGTCATTTTTCTGATGATTAATAGAATAACCTTCCCTGCAACTCGGGATTCGCCCGCCGTTTGTTATTAAAGGAAGGATCAGCAAAGAATATTAATGTATAGGACTTTGTCAGACCTTGACTGTCAGTACACAGTTCATATAAGGACCAGATCACAACCTGCAAGTGTGAATAAAATGGTTGTCGCCTCATTTCCTCTAGCATTCTCTTGGAAAATATGCATATAATTGTGTGTTATAACTTGTAATCACTCTGTGCAGCTTGTACTGTATCTCTCTGGTTAACTCTTTATCGGGTCGAAATAGATCATTAAATCAGATTACAGTAGTTGACATTAGGAGTGGATCAAAAAGCTTTTCAAAATTGTCCACAGACAGGAATGGGTGTTGTTGAAAAGTTTTAGGCAGTGGCGGTTCTAAAGGGGGGACAGGGGGGGCCGGTGCCCCCGTGTCAACAAGCTTGGCCCCCCCTCTGGCCCCCCTAAATTTGGACGCATATTTTTGTGTCTAAACGCCACGGAGAAACAAGATCAGCCATCGGTGGCGCACGCACTCGCTCTGTTTGCTTTCGCGCGCTCTCGCTCTGTCAGTTACGGTGCTGCGCGCATCAGTTTCTCGCATTCGTTAGAAGTTAACCCCCAAATTGACACAGGTAATAAGATTAAACTTCAGTCATGTTCATGTTGTGAAACACTATCAAAATGTCCACTGTTGATGATATTAGACTTCTGTTTTCAATAGCGATTTTAACACTTTTAATAGAGGAAGTCCTCGGCTATGCATGAGGCTATTGTGCAGAGATTAAGTGTAAGTTACATAGTTTTACGTTAGGAAATGCAGTCTTGAACTTACAAACAGTCTGCAAGACAGAGAACAGATGAAACACAGTAATCCAGTTTAGTTTTCAGTCACGTAAAGTCATATTCAACTTGTTCAGTTTTACCTTAGTTCGTTTTTTGATTTCAGTCGTGACATAAAGCACGAATCTTTAACACATGATTTATTTACAACACATTTTTACACGTAATAGTTTAACTTACTAATTTCTAATAACTACTTTTTTTATCTTTCCCATGGTGACAGTCGGTGCATATATTTTACTAGTTATTCTGCAAGATAGTTGTATTCAGATGAAAGTACCTTTATTCTATAGTCTTTGAATCAGATTAAAGTGTAATTTAAAGACTTCACTAGGCTATGTTAACTAGGAAAGTTGAAATAATTAGTCAAGTTATTGTTTAACTGGTATGTTGTATAGACAATTAAAAAATACACAGTAAATACTTATTAAAAGGAGGCTAATAACACTGACTTAAATAAAAAAATAATCTAAAACTGCTTTTATTCAAGAAATAAACAAAAAAAAAAGACTTATTATGACTCTAGAAGAATGTTTGTGTATAGGAAATACTGTAAAAATCTCCTTGGTTTGATTTAGATCACTTGGAAAACATTACTGTATTTTAAATTAATGGAAAGGCAAAAAATGGACTTCAACTGCATCTGTTAAAGTTTACAGGTGTAAAAATGAGTCTTGATGTAGAAATGTGTTATCCAACAATACAAAGTGACTTGTCAAATAAATGAACATGGAAGATTATTTTGAGTTTAGGTTATTTAATTAGCTTATTTACGAAGACAGGGCAGCACTATGGCGCAGTGGGTAGCACAATCGCCTCACAGCAAGAAGGTTGCTGGTTCGAGCCCCGGCTGGGTCAGTTGGCATTTCTGTGTGGAGTTTGCATGGTCTCCCCGTGTTGGCGTGGGTTTCCTCCGGGTGCTTCAGTTTCCCCCACCAGTCCAAAAACATGTGGTACAGGTGGTACACTAAATTGTCTGTGGTGTATAGGTGTTTCCCAGTGATTTGGTGCAGCTGGAAGGGCATCTGCTGCCTAAAACAAATGCTGGATAAGTTGACAGTTCATTCCACTGTGGCGGCCCCAGATTAATAAAGGGACTAAGCCGAAAAGAAAACGAATGAATGAATGTTTATGAAGACTGCAGAGTGATGCATAAAATAATGACTTTAAATAATTAAATAGTTTGTGATGTATGTTAAAGTGTACCCCCTAAATGTACAAGTGGCCCCTGCCCAGCCCCCCCAGTTACTCTGGTCTAGAACCGCCACTGGTTTGAGAACAACTTTGATAAACTTTTGACCCACTTCAAATGTTGATTACTGTAGACCCTTAGCATCTCAAAATAAAAGGTTTTGATCATCTCGTATTTAAACCTGGACCCCTCTGAAATCTGTGTGCATTAGTGCATACCAGCGGGACAGAACCTCTGCTCAGGACCGTCATAAATGGCAAGGTTTTTGCTAACAGGAATACTGTCATCTTTGAGCGTCAGATGAGCCGGCTGGTCGTGTTCGTGATTTGTCCCGCTCAAAGCCACAGACGACAACAGATCAAAGCTGATCTTCCCGTCAGGTTTGGGGTACTCGATGGGAGAACAGTCCTTTGCCGGCTTCAGCTGAGCATAGTCTGAGCCTAAAGGACAACAATTTGTTTATCATTAGAAATACAATAAAGACTGATGACGGATAATCGCATATTTAACACTCTGGATGTATATGAAATCTCATTTTTCTCTGCTTTTTGAAAACACTCATATTTACAACTTGAATTTAAAGGGGACCTATTATGCAAAATCACCTTTTTAAGGCATTTAAAAACAGTTGTATGGCAACAGTCATTGAATATAACCTGTTAATAATGGTTAAAATCTATTAATTTTATTTTCCATCGCCAAAAAACAGTCTGCAGATACACTTTGGTTGACATTCTCCCTTTGTACATGCCATCAGAGGGGGAAAGCCAGACTCATTAGTAACCATGTCTCCCTCATTAGCATAGGAGTTAGTCCTGTTTTTGAAACTGCCACTATGCTGACACACAGACGTTTGTAGCTCCGCCCTCTTTTGAAATAAGCACAATCTCATTTAAATTTAAAGAGACAGTCACCCAAATGACATAATTTGGACCAAAGCCTAAAAGGGTCAGCTTTAAAGAGTTTTAAAACATTATTTGTGTGCTCTCTTAAGCTAAAATTTCACATTCACACTCTAGGGACATCAGAGACTTATTTAACATTTTATATCACATCTTATTTTACATCTTGCATTTAAAAAAGGGGCATAATAGGTCACCTTTAAGATTATTTAAAACCTTTTTTAAGATTATTATGATTTAAATTTAAGACCTGTATCACAATGTTGGTCTAATTTGTAGCCATAACACAGTTAATTATATACAGACTAGCAAAACAAGAAACACAGAAATAAATCTTTAGTGCTTTTTAGAGGTATTTAGGTTTCAGGAATTTTTAGTGGTGCCAATAATTTTGAAATATTGATTTTTCCGTTGTTCTTTAATTTTTAATTTTGTGAACTAAAATGGACTATTGTGAACTAACCTGAATTATAATGACCAAAATGACAGAGAATGTCTTTGGTTATGTCAGAGTATAACCTGTATTTCTATGCTTTGAATCAACATTTAAATAAAGTGTTTTTGCACTGGCAAGGAATGCAGCAAAATATGAAAGCCATCAGATAATTACAAGTATGCATGCCGATATTGTACAAAAACCCACTCTGCCTTGGTCATTTTCAAACTTTTTGAAAGTAATTAATAATGTTCATGTAAATTCAATAATTTATTAATTTTATTTTAAAGTATGATCTGACCCTATATGAGAGAGGGTGGTGGTGGGGGGTTGGTGGGCTCATTTGGTGCTTTCCAAATATCATATTCATTTTATTAACTATTAGAATTAACATATTTAATCCATAAACTACAGAAAATAAAAATAGTAGTTACTAGTTACATAAAAAACAACATGCATGTGACCCCTGGGGTGATTAGGTTATATAAAAGACACAGCAGATAGATTTTATGGCAGGAAGTTAAACTTTTACATCACTCACATACAGTAAAAAATAAACACAGGCCACAACTGAACATGGAGGATGATCTCTGAGTGGTGTTCTCCAAAATTAAATGAAAAACAGACTTTTTTTTTTTTTTTTTTTTTTTAAATCGCCACTCAATTTATGGAAGTAAAGCCTGTTGTGGAAGTTTACTGGGGGCAAAGTGTTCTTTTTAATGTATTTGTTTTGATACTGTGTTTATAAGGAAGAGCTGAAAATGAATAGGGTCAGATCATACTTTAAAATAAAATGAATAAATTATTGAATTTACATGAACATTATTAATTACTTTCAAAAAGTTTGAAAATGACCAAGGCAGAGTGGGTTTTTGTACAATATTGGCATGCGTACTTGTAATTATCTGATGGCTTTCATATTTTGCTGCATTCCTTGCCAGTGCAAAAACATTTTTTTTATATGTATAACCACCTCAGGAGCATATTGGGGGTCACGAGTCACTTTGCTGTTTTGGGGGTCAAAGGCTGAGAAGTTTGGGAACCCCTGATCTAAAACAACCTTTTTTCATAATAAATGTCTCACCGCTATGCTTTAAAGTCCATGGCTCTTTTCCTCTAAAAATCCAGTAGAAGATCCCAGTGTAGACCATCCCACCGTAGAGGCCGAAGTACGTATGGAAGGATGGTCTGATGTTCCTCACCGAACGCAGCTCCTTCCAAACCCAGGACTTTTTCAAAGCTTCCTCATATTCAGGAATATAGAGACCTAACAGAGACACAAAACATCTTTAAAGCAGAGGTGAAAATCAGACTTTTTCCATGTTTAAACTCTATAATCGGATCCCAGATGCATCTACCAATGCAGAAAATGTTGTTAACATAGGAATATAGGAAAGAGATTTTTGTTATATTTTAGATGCCATTAATCTGCACATGGCGGCTCAGTGGCTCACTGTCAGCTCACAGCAAGAAGGCTGCTGATTCGAGTGCTCGAGTCCAAACACATGCGCTATAGGTGAATTGGATAAACTAAACTGGCTGTAGTGTATGAGTGTGTGTGTGTCTGTGTGTGCGTGTGAGTTAGAGAGAGAGAATGCAAGTCTGTATGGGTGTTTTCCAGTACTGGGTTGCAGCTGATATCCACTGTGTAAAAAATAGGCTTTGGATCTGGGCTCTGACTGGGCCACTCAAGGACATTCACAGAGTTGTTGTGAAGCCACAGCATTGATATTTTGCAGGTGTGCTTTGGGTCACTGTCCTGCTGGAAGACGAACCGTCGCCCCAGTCTGAGGTCAAGAGCACTCTGAAGCAGGTTTTATTCAGGATGTCTCTGTACAATGCTGCATTCATCTTTCCCTCTGTCCTGACTAGTCATCCAGTTCCTGCTGCTGAAAAACATCCCCACAGCATGATGCTGCCACCACCATGCTTCACTGTAGGGATGGTATTAGCCTGGTGATGAGCAGTGATTGGTTTTCTTCAAACGTAATGCCTGGCATTCACTCCAAAGAGCTCAATTTTAGTCTGAGAGTCCTTCAGATGCCTTTTGGCAAATTCCAGGCGGGCAGTGGCTTCCGTCTGGCCCCTCTACCATACAGGCCTGATTGGTGGATTGCTGCACAGATGGTTGTCCTTCTGTAAGGTTCTCCTCTCTCCACAGAAGAACGCTGGAGCTCAGACAGAGTGACCATCGGGTTATTGATCACCTCTCTAAGGCCCTTCTCCCCTGATCCTTGAGCTTAGATGGCCGGCCAGCTCTAGGAAGAGTCCTGGTGGTTTCAAACATCTTCCACTTACGGATGATGGAGGCGGCTGTGCTCATTAGAAATTTCAGAGCAGCAGAAATGTTTCTGTAACCTTCCCCAGCCTTGTGCCTCGAGACAATCCTGTCTTCATGTCTTCATGCTTGGTTTGTGCTTTGACATGCACTGTCAACCCTGAGACCTTATATAGACAGGTGTATGCCTTTTCAATTCATGTCCAATCAACTTAATTTACCACAGATGAACTCCAGTAAAACATCTCAAGAATGATCAGTGGAAACAGACCTGAGCTCAATTTAGAGCTTCAAGGCAAAGGCTGTCAATACTTCTGTACATGTGATTGTTCAGGTTTTTTATTTGTAATAAATTTGCAACAATTTAAAAAACTCTTTCTCCACATTGTCATTATGGGGGATTGTGTGTAGAATGTTGAGGAAATAAATTAATTTAATCCATTTTGGAATAAGGCTGTAACATAAGAAAATGTGGAATAAGTGAAGCGCTATGAATACTTTCCCGATGCACTGTATGCTGGAATAGTTGGCGGTTCATTCCACTGTGGTGACCCCTGATAAATCAGAGACTAAGCCTAAGTAAAATTAATAAAAAACCTGCACATTTCCAGCCAGTTTATTTACAGAGACCAGAGCTAGTGTTATTAGATTAATCACTAAAATACTCACTGTCAGCGTAATTCATAAACACATTGATTATGAACTCAACGGTCAGCTGACTGATTATTTCTCTAAAGAAAGAGAATTATACTAATAGTGTTTATTTGCAAAAGCAGCATATCAAAAAAAAACAAAAAACTTAAATCATGCTAGTCGATTAGATGAAATAAACTATATAAATGTATATCCAGGAGCTGTTCAGAAATATTCTGGGTCAAGCCTAGAAGTTGTAAGCTCTTCAACTGCATGTCCTCCTTAATGTCCCAAGACCATGTTTAATATCCTGTGAGTTACACCTCAGCTAATCTGCATAGAAGTGTGGGTCGGCTACCTGTGGTTTGTGACTGCAGATTCTCATCAGTGATTTTGCTGAAGGCGGTCTCGGCCGCCAGCATGCCGCTCTTCATGGCCGTGTGTGTGCCTTTGATCTTGGGCACGTTCATGAAGCCTGGACTGCAGCCGATCAACATGCCGCCTGGAAACGTCAGCTGAGGGATTGACTGGAGGGGGGAAATTGTGGATGTGAGAAGTTAAAAGAGACAGGAGAAAAAGGAAGAATATTATGCCTTGAAGTAGACATATGCCAACATACAGTTGAGGTCTAAATTATTCAATTTTTTTATTCTTTTTCAAATGTTTCCCAAATGATGTAAAACAGAGCAAGCAATTTTTCCACAGTATTTTCTATAATATTTTTTTCTTCAGGAGAAAGTTTTATTTGTTTTATTTCAGCTAGTTTAAAAGCAGTTTTTAATTGTTTTAAAACCATTTTAAGGTCAATATTAGCCCCCTTAAGCAATATTTTATTTTGATTGTCTACAATGACTTGCCTAATTACCCTAACTTGTCTATTTAACCTAGTTAATTCTTTAAATGTCACTTTAAGCTGTATGGAAGTAAAATCTAGTAAAATATTAATATTCATTCATTCATTCATTTATTTTCTTGTCGGCTTAGTCCCTTTATTAATCTGGGGTCGCCACAGCGGAATGAACCGCCAACTTATCCAGCAAGTTTTTACGCAGCGGATGTCCTTCCAGCCGCAACAAATCTCTGGGAAAAATATTAATATTTCTAATATCTAGTAAAATATTATTTACTGTCATGATGGCTGAAATAAATCAGTTATTAAAGATGAGTTATTAAAACTATTATGTTTAGAAATGTGTAATAAATTGTGTGAGAAATAAAAAAATCTTCTCTTTATTAAACAGAAACTGGGAAAAGAAATAAACAGGAGGAATAATAATTTTGACTTGTACAAATGTCCAATAAGTCAATGGATCGTAATAATGAACTAGCACAATATTTGATATAGTGGGCCCTTCAAAACACATTTATTCATTCATTGATTCATTCATTTTCCTTCGACTTAGTCCCTTATTCATTAGGGGTCGCCACAACAGAATGAACTGCCAACTATTATTGCATATGTTTTACACGGTGGATACCCTTCCAGCTGCAACCCATCACTAGGAAACACCCATTCAAATTTACACACACTCACACACTACAGCCAATTTAGTTTATTCAATTCACCTATAGCGCATGTCTTTGGACTGTGGGTGTTTCGTGTCAGCACGTATTGGTTATTTATGTTTGTATTATGTGTATCGTTGGCTGCGTCCGAAACTGCATTCTTCCATACTATATAGTACACTATAATCAGTATGCGAGCCAAGTAGTACGTCCGAATTCATAGAATTCGAAAATCAGTATGCGAGAAGTACCCGGATGTCTTACTACTTCCGGCGAGATTCTGGAGTGCGCATCCCATGCACACTGCGCTATCCCACGAGCGAATTCATTAATGGAAGTGAAGCGACGCAACTGACGCAGGTAGGTCACGTGACCATGACAAAATGGCGGATGTAGTACGTCCGAATTCCATTCATACTTTTTACATTCATACTGTATAGAACGTACCGTTCTAACGACAGAGTAGTACGTTTAAATTCAAATGCAGAACCTACTAAGTAGCAGGCGGTTTCGGACGCAGCCATTGTGTTTTTCTTTCCATCACCCCAGTTCACTTCCTTGTTTTTCCTACTGCTGTTTCAGATTGGCTGGTTCACCTCCACTTGATACAACCAATTCTGAAACTGCCTTATGTTGACTCTTTCCTTAGTAGCAACTTGATTTTGGTCTCAGCCAATCAGATCACTCCAGCTCAGTATATATTTTGTGACTGCAAACAGTTTGTCAGTCTTTGTTGGCTCAATTTGTTATTGGTTTCTGTGCTTGTTTGCTTGCTTGAATCTGTGTTTTTATCCCCATTTGTTTTGTTGTGATACATTGTCTGTCTTCACCTTTATTTACACTGTGTTGTCATTTTGGTTTGTTCTTAACTGTGCAATCATTCATTCCCTTTCCTCATGTTTCCCTACAGAGGTTTGGTAGAAAGACTGGTAGGTAAGTAGGTCACGTGAAATACATTTCAACACAGGAGTTCAACTGTCTAGAGATACACTAGGGAAAGGGGTGAGTGCCAACACGTGTATTTTTGGTTAAGTGGATAGTTAGTGTAGTTTAGGTAAAACGTCTTGGACCTTGAAGATTTATTTTTCACATTTTTGTTTTTTTAGACTAGATTAGAGGGGATTTGATATTAGTAAGACTGCTTGGTTTTGATTATTTCTTTGCTTTAGTGCCAGTCTTTCTAATTTAGGTTTTGTTTTGGGTTGTGATTTGTAAATATTGTAAATAGCTCACAATAAAATTACAATTGTTTTTGTTATGTCCATTTATGTATTAATTCTGCTCTTTTTATTTTTGGGAGTTGTTCTGTGTCTCTCTGCAGGAAGCAGCTGCTTGCTCCTTTGTTTGGTCCTGCCCCTGTTTCAATTGATGCCACACCCTGCCTTGTCAGCTGACTCCTGGCTGCCTATAAATTCTTCCTCTGTCACTTTCTGTTTAGCTGTTTGAGCTCACTTGTGGTTGGTAGTTGTGTGTTTAGGGTTATAGAAAGAAAGTGTGTTTGTTTGTTAGATTTGTTGAATTGGAGTTTGTCTAAGTGTTTGAGAAAGATCTGTGAAAGTATTTAGTGCTTTAGTTCTGGCTTTGTTGATGTTGAAAATCTGACCTCTGTCTGTTAAATGACTACTCTGCTTTTTTGCCCCTTTTTGGATTTGTTTGCGGATTGTAAATATTTGTACATAGTAAGAAGAGAGCTTGACGCCATTTTCTTTTGTACCTTCTTTAATTGATTGTTTCTGTGGACAAGGGAGTAAGGTAAGAAAGTGTATTTTATTTTCTTTCTTTTTGCTGAAAATAGGGAATTTAGAGGGGATTTAAACTTAGATTGTTTGGTTTATTGTTTTGGCCTGGTCAGCTCCTGAAGTAAAAAAAAAGAGACAAATTTTGTTTGAGAAAATCATTGTGAAAATAAAATCTTTATATATTTTCTTAAGCAGCAATGTGTGTGTAGTCTTCCCTTTCATGTCACGTCCTTACCCCTAGACGGGGCGTAACAGTTTTATTAAACAGAGTTAATATTGAATCCAACTCAGTTGTGTTTTTCTATTTAACATTAACATAGAAATATAATATAGCTATTTATTTAATGCATTGACATTTCTAGTCAGACTTTATTGTAAAGTGTCACCTACTGTATTTTAAGATTCAAAGTAAAGTGGTAGTGTGCCGATTTACTTTGAATCTTTTGCTACTTATGTTTGTTTTTTTATATACTATAAATCAATACACTGTTTTTTGTTTTTTTGGTATTATACCTATTAAAGCAATCTTTTTTGCAGCTTAGATCAATATCATGATAATATCATATACCATGATGAAAGCTATAGCAAATAATTACAACAAAAATGTTTGATACTATCATAGGCCTACCTGAAAGCCTCCTTCATTGAGGGCTCTGGCTCCATATGCAATCCTGTTTCCTCCCTCCAGGGTGGACATCACCGAAGGGTGATGCTTCCAGCGCTGGAACTCCCTGAATGGACTCATGTAGGGATTAGTGTAGTCCAAACCTACCTAAGTAGACAGAGACAGATTTACAGTTCAACCCAGTACAATAACTGCATCGGGCTTGGTTGTCTGCTAATCCATTTTGAAATAAGGCTGTAACATTAAAAAATGTGGGAAAAGTGAAGCGTTATGAATACTTTCCAGATGCACTGTATATTGCTTGTTTGCACTGTAGGCTGAGGCCCCGTTTACACTAATGTGTTTTAGTTATACTCATTGATAACGAGTGTAAGTTTTGCTACGGTTACGCCATTCGTCCACACTACGCCGGAATTTTCGAGCGCCGAAAACCAAGCGTTTTGGAAACGCTGAAGAGGTCGTTTTCATTCTAAAACGCTGCTGCTCCATCTCAGTGTGGATGGGGGAAAACGGAGACATCTGAAAACTGAGGCAGGACTGCAGACATTCGCCTCTCTGATTGGGGCTTTTCCTTAATATTAGGTAGCCTACACACACAGTTCAGTCCTGCATCCTTTCCTTGTAATTTCAGACTTCGCAAGTTTTATATGGACTCCCGTGGACATGTCGGTAAATATCCAAAGGGAACAGTGTTCTAACCTTATTCACATCATCCTGGATACGTATGTTGTTTCACTATCTTAACAATAAAATAAAAACATAATATAAAGAACTGCTATTTTCATTTTGATATTAACAACTTAACAGACAGCAGAAATGTTGAGGCGTCGTGCTGCATATATAAGCGTCATCTTCACTTTGTGCATATTTATAACAAGACGGAACCTTTAACATCACTGCCTCATTTTATTTTCATTAAAGATACGAAACATACACTCTCTCGTGCTAAAAATCAGTGTTAATAGTCAATAATGGCCATGATAAAAATATAATGTACAATAAGTTTATACTTCATATGAAATAAAGGCAAGCAATGAGTCAATATACAGAATGAACGTGGTTACATTAATTAATAACTTATCTTTGCGCTCAGCCAAAACACGTTACCTGAGAACAAGTAATAGATTCTTCAAGTAAAAGAGGTCGAGCCTTCTCTTTCATGGCTCCTACACTCTGAAATAGCCTTCCTGATAACGTCCGAGGCTCAGACACACTCTCCAAGTTCAAAACTAGATTAAAGACCCATCTGTTTAGTAAAGCATACACTCAATGCATCACCTAGCGGGTTCCACACAGGCTTCTGCATCTTGTTTATATACAATATGAACAGCAGCTACGCTAATTATTCTCTTTATTCTCTATTTTCATCTGGGGATACTCATCCCGAGGTCCTCAGATTATGCGGAGTCACTGATTGGATCCAAGACCAGCGACGTGATGATCCCAAGGATTCCATATCCGGGACCAGGCCATATCCTGAGCTGCTGCTGCGCTGATGGTCATGGGGAGTGGAGAACATGAGTCTGATTCCAGCGACGCTCCAGGGACAGACGAGTCTTCGCTGAGGCCATCTTCCAGCCTTAACCACGGCGAATGAAGCTCTGCACAAGACTTTTGGCCAGCGGAGAAATTAAAATGGTCGTGTCCAACTGAGTCTGGGGCTGTTTCTCAATTCCAAGAACGCAGAGAACGGACTTGTGTTCTTGTGGAGATCGGTCTTGCCAGGTGTCCTCGGAAGAACGAACTCAGGAGACCGCGAGGGCAGAGAACGCGTCCTTTGAGAATTGAGATGCTGCGTTCTTCCTGATGGTCACATGACCTTGACGTGTTTTAAATGGTAAATTATTTAAACATTACAGCATTCATTCAACGATTTATTGTTTTTCCCCTTTTCAAAATATATACTTTGTATAAAACATTATAAATATATGTTGCACAATATAAATAAAACAGATTTTAATACGAATTTCAGCAAACAAACACCCTTAATGTGTTTATTCCTTTATTAAGATGTCCATGGTAATGTTTACTTTCACCGTTTCATTTAGGGAAACTCCTGAGGTAAATAGTTCATATCTATGAACTTTAATAATAAATCTAGATAAAATGCAGTGCTTCCCACCTCCAGTCGCAATGACTTCTGGGACTTCCAGAGTGAGTTCATTGCTCAAGTCTGCATCAGTGCGTCCTCGATATCAAGAACACATCCGGGAAGTTTCACGCGTCCTCCGTACTTGCGGTCTTGAGTATTGGAACTGAACTTAGGCAGCTGATGATGACGTTGCACGAGAACACGAGGACGCAAGATCGCTGAAGAACGCATATTGAGAAACAGCCTGGTTCTCTCAAGGTTTTTTTCTTCACTCCCATCAGGTGAAGTTTTTTTTCCCTCTCCGCTGTCGCCACTGCCTCGCATGGTTCAGGATTGGTAGAGCTACGCATCGATGAATTTGCTCTTCAGTGTTTGAACTCTCAGTAATGATTAAATTACACTGAACTGAGCTAAACTGAACTGAACTGAACTTAAACACTAAAACCTGAACCACACTGTTCCAGTTACTATGACCATTTATGTGAAGCTGCTTTGACACAATCTACATTGTAAAAGCGCTATACAAATAAAGCTGAATTGAATTGAAAACACCAAAGTCTGGGAATATGTCGTTAGATATAGACAACTAGATGAATTAAATATCACGTTTAAGAAATATAGTGAGCTTGGATCCAGCGGTAGATCCTTAATGAACAGTCTGACGTGCACAGCTCCGATCTGGCTAGATATGCTGCAGCGCATGCCAGAGTGTGTGTTGTGTGGACGGAGAGCTGTTCAGAAACGCTGGGTTAAACGCTAGTGTGGACGCGGATCGTTTTAATTCTAAAACGCCATTTAAAAACTGAAACGCACTAGTGTAAACGGGACCTGAGAGGACTGTGATCTCATCTGCACTGAACTGTATATCAAGAATATTCAGCTTATTAGACAATAAAACTGACTTGAGATTGAGATTAATGAGAAAATTATTATTATTATTATTATTATTATTAAGAAAAATGTTTTTGAACAGTATAAATGCTTTTACTGCTTCTTTTGACCAATTTAATGTAATGTGCATTTATATAGCACAATTGTTGTGTATGGCCATACACCCAAAGCGCTTCACAATCATGAGGGGGGTCTCTCCACACCACCAACAGTGTGCAGCATCCACTTGGATGATGCGACGGCTGCCACAGGACAACAGCGCCAGTGCACTCACCACACACCAGCTATTGGTGGAGTGGAGAGCCAATTGGTGGAAGGGGATGATTGGGAGGCCATGATCGTAAGGGCCGATAGAGGGACCCCTGCTCTTTCACGGAAAGTGCCATGGGATTTTTAATGACCACAGAGAGTCAGGACCTCGGTTTAACATCTCATCCGAAAGACGGCGCCCACTGACAGCGTAGTGTCCCCTTCACTTTTACTGGGGCAATCACACAGACCACAGGTTGAGCGCTCCCTGCTGGCCTCACTAACACCACTTCCAACAGCAACCTAGTATTCCCATGTGGTCTCCCATCCAGGTACTGACCAGACTCAGCCCTGCTTAGCTTCAGTGAGTAACCGGTCTTGGGCTGCAGGGTGATATGGCTGTGGCCCTGATTTAATGAATCTTTGCCGAATACAAGTCTATTTTAAATTAATTTCCTTAAAAACAAACACTAAAACTTTTGAACGGAACTACATTTACACACACAACATCATGAGCCAGCAATGTCTCTGCATTTCAGCTCTGCAAGTGAGTGAAACGTACTTAAAAGTACAAACAATTCAAAGCAATCACGCAATTGGGTAAATTAAACACTGCACCGTACATCTAGAGCCATGACGGCATTGGATAATAACCCATCATCACTGCCAAACTCAAGGCGTCTGGAACGGAGGCTATTTTCTATGAATCACCAGCACTCTACGAAATGACTCTTAAAAAAAAAAAGAAGTAATTTTGATATCCTAAATTTTCAGAGGGGATGAGAAAATGTCCTCATGACAGACCCTGAACCGCAACAACGTCAGAGTTCAAAGCCTTTTCCCACTCACATTTTAGATTATGAAAGAACATAATGAACGAGGTCAATAATATCCATACAGATCAAAGCCTCCTGACAAAGACATCAATCCAGAACATTCAGCTTTATGATTAAGGCTTCAAAGAGGAATCTTTTCAATATTAAATATGTGCGTTTGACCCAGAATGTTGAGGATCAAGATGACTTACGACAAAGCCCAGGGCCACCAGTGGTTCTCCTTCGTTGAGGTGGTACAGGAAAGTGCCTCCGTATGTGTTCCTGTTCAGAGGCCAGCCGACTGAGTGCTCTGCTCGTCCCGGTCGCCACTTCTTCTCATCAATAACCCAGAGCTGAAACAAATCAAAGAGTTTTCTTTTTAATTGCATCTTTTTATTAACATTTTAAACTATCAATCACAAAACACTTTAAAACAAACCAACAGACATTGCTCATTTTATGCCCCATTCACACATTCATAATCAATAAAATAATTATAGTATTAATTCAAACAAAATAATACAAAAATAAAATAAAAAAACTAAAATAAATGAAAATAAATGAAAATAAAATAAAATAAAAACAAAAATAAATAAAAATAATAAAATTAAATAAAACAAAAATATATTTAAATAAAATAAAACAAAAATAAAAAAAATAAATGTAAAAAAATAAAATAAAAATAAATGAAAATAAAACTAAATAGAAATAAAATAAAAAATAAAATAAAAATCCATCATTCACTATACATACGCAATAAATCCTAATAATACACAACATTCTATTATGAAAAAAGTTTTCAAGTCTTATTTTCTTTTTTTTTCGAAATCAAAGCAATGACAGAGATGGAAAGTTACTCTCTATTATCACTATAAATGTTGCTGCGTATAGAATAAAAGTGACTTCAAAGTGAACATGAGAAGATTAATATTTAAGATTTATATTATATTATATTATATTATATTATATTATAATATATTATATTTAGCGCTGTCAAAATTAACGCGTTAACGCATGCGATTAATTTTAAATAATTAACGCGTTAAAAAAAATTAACGCAATTAACGCAGTTCAGGTTTTTTTTACTTCCTGTTGTGGTGGACGTGTGTTCAACATGCAATAAATGTGGATAAGACCAAGGAAGCACTTTTTGAAGGCAAGTTCCAGTATAAAACAATTAGTTGCATCACAGGTTATCCAGAGTTTCATGCATGTGTTTCATTTTTAACTTTTGACATCTGTTGTAAGTTGATACCCCATGGCGAACAGAAAGAAAATCCTCCGCATTTCGTGACTCGGTGTTCCTGTAAGGTAAGGTTCCTTTTAAGGCTACACGGTAGAATTTTAATAGGAGTATTATCTTAATCATATTAAAATCGGAGTATTGGTGTCTTATGTAAATGTACTCAGAACTTCTGGTGAAGTTGCGAGCTGTCAAAGACAGGGCATTACTCTGCCTTTCAGCATGAGCCTTACAAGTTTAGCGTGTTTCCTCATTAAACGCAACGAAAGCGTACGCTTCGCGTCGTTGTGTAAGAATCCTTGTGAAATACAGTAATACTTTAGGACGCTTAGTTTAGGACGCTTAGCAAATTTGATGAACGTGATCATGCGTGTTGAATCTGAGGGGAGTCGCTCCAGTATGGAAGGCCGTTAGGGCCAAAACGTCTGCAGTGCGTTGAGTGTGTGTCTGTCTGTGTGTGTGTCTGTGTCAGGCCTGTTGAGGGGTGTCAGGGGTGGAGTGAGGTATCTGAGTAGGGGCAAGAGGGGTGTGCAATGTATTTAACGACCGGTCTGCAAGAAAATATAATTCATTTGCGGGCATTTGGGAGTCTCTGTGCACTTGCGGGATACTCCTAGTCTTAGCAACTGGATGAATGTAAAGGAGGATTAAGCAAAATTGTTTCTACTCTATAATTAATGTTCTCAACTCACAGCAATAAAACTTTACAATGAGTGCAACAGTTTGTATTCTGTAGTTTATTATAATTTTTCATTTTCCATATCTGCAATTCCTGTATTTTGGCATTTTTTTGCAGTCCACTTAGAATCCAACATGGAAATCAATGTTTTCTTTATTGGCATTGATTGTTTTGAAATTTAAATGTCATTAACATGCCTGTGTTTTAATTTCTGTAATAAATATGGCTGTCAAGCCAGGATCTTGATGGTTTATTGTGGGTATGTTGTTTACATGAAGAAATCTGTGTTACAAGTTAAACAAAAATTCTATTAAACAATTATATTTTGAATTTAAATATTTTTTGTCTTGCGTTTACATTAATTTTACATTTAAATAGCCAAAATGACAATAAATTATTTTTTTTAAAAGGTGCGATTAATTAGTAATTTTTTTTAATCAATTGACAGCACTAATTATACTATATTATACTATATTATTATATTATATTATATTATATTATATTTATCGCAGGGCAAAGGTTAAATAAAAATTAAAAGTTTGCTTTGACATGACATATGTTTTTGTGTTATACATGTTTAACACAATATGAATATATGATATACAAAATTTTGTTAGATTTATATGTAATTCGTATCACATACATATATATATTTTTTATATCTAAATATAAATAAGCATTTTGTCAAATATATGCATGCATGTGTGTATTTATATAGAGTATTTTGAGGGATGTAAACAAAAACAATGGTTCCAATGTATTTCCTGTTTTACATTATTAGTTTCATTAGCCTCCAAGAATCCAAAAAGACCCATGTTTTGAAAAATAATGTTATGACAGCTGTTTTAACATTAGGTTATAGTTGAATTGCCTCTTGTTAGAGTTATGAAATAGTTTGATAAGCAGGAAATGTTCACAGGCCAATGACATGACCGCATTGAAATAGTCTATATACACAGTACACACACATACACTCAAAACAAATTTCATTTTGGATGCGATTCTTTTTTGCCCAGAACTTATTATATAATAATATTTGTATGATCATACTGAATCATCAGCCAGGTAAGAGTGTTTTCTTGTACCTCTTTGAGGCCGATGGCGTAAGTCTGCGGCTCACACTTCTCCCTCAGATTAAACTGTTTGTACAGTTGCTTGGCCAGATGTCCATGGCAGCCTTCACCAAACATAGTGACCTTCGCGTGGAGCTCCATCCCTCTCTCAAACACATCCTGGAGGAGTTCAACAGAGCGTGAAATGTGCTGGTAATAGCACATAAATATACAACACACACACACACACACACACACACACACACACACACACACACACACACACACACACACACACACACACACACACACACACACACACTAGAATCACTTTACCCAGAGTTACTTATATTCCCTCTGTGCACTTCAGAAACTCATTTAGCCTTGGTATGAACATCTAACTTTTTTTTCTTATGAATATAAATCACTATAATCATGAGATGTGTTTGAAAGGTGAACTCCGGGTGAGAGTTTCATCAGAACAGCATTGCATATTTTAGGTATACTGATGTAGAAAACCAAATGGTTGTGACAAACCTTTGGAGAGCCGTCTTTAGCAATGCCAACATCATTGGTTGCAATTCCTTTCACACTTCCATCTTCATGAAACAGCACCTGGAGGTCAATCACAGGTTTGCAAAGCAGGATGTTAATATAAGAAACGCATCTACCTGACAAAAGTATTGTCGTCGATCCCAGTTGTAAAAGTAGGAAATAATAACTTGACTTCTAGTTAATCATTTGGAAAAGTGGCAGAAGGTTTGTCTGATGAATCATCTGTTGAGCTGCATCCCAATCATCACAAATACTGCAGAAGATCTACTTTAACCTGCACAAAACCAAGATTCTCACAGAAATCAGTCAAGTTTGGTAAAGGAAAAATCATGGTTTGTGGTTACATTCAGTATAGGGGCCAGCGAGAGATCTGCAGAGTGGATGGCAACATCAACAGCCTGAGGTATCAAGACATTTGTGCTGCCCATTACATTACAAACCACAGGAGAGGGCAAATTCTTCAGCAGGATAGCGCTCCTTCTCATACTTCAGCCTCCACATCAAAGCTCCTGAAAGCAAAGGTCGAGGTTCTCTAGGATTGGCCAACCCAGTCACCCGACATGAACATTATTGAGCATGTCTGAGCTAAGATGGAGGAGGCATTGAAGATGAATCCAAAGAATCTTGATAAACTCTGGGAGTCCTGCAGGAGCACTTTCTTTGCCATTCCAGATGACTTTATTAATGAGTGAATTGAGTCATTGCAGAGATGTATGGATGCAGTCCTCCAAGCTCATGATGGAGTCAGACACAATATTCATTCTGTTTCCACTGCAGCATGACTTTATATTCTATACTGGACATTATTTCTGTTCAGTGACAAGACTCTTGTCCAAGCAAAGTCAGACCTTAATGTCCTAATCAAATAATTAAAAGTCAAGGCATGATCGTAATTTATTCTGGTAAAATAAGTGTAATCTAGAGGTCTTTGCCTTTCATATAAGCCACTTCTAATACCAAATTATCAACCAGAAGTCAAGTTATTATTTGCTGTTCCTACAACATGGATAGGCGACAAGACTTTTGTCAGGTAGTGTATTTGTTTAGCAGTTAAGCATTTTCAGAAACCAGATGAGATCCCTATTTTCACTTCATATTTACATGTGTTCAATGACATCTATTGTGGCCACTTGTGTTCATTTTAAACTTTTATTTTATCAGGCTTAAACTATCCATTTAGGCTTGATGTTTATAATGGATGTTAATTAAAGCACAACACTTGAACAGTGTTATTTATATTGTTGACTTGTGTACTTGAATTATGTTTCAATAATTGCAAATGTTTCAAATAACATTCAAACACAGAAATAATACATTTTTACTAGTTAGACTGAGCGTGTGCTGCGTTTATGTCATTAACCTCACACAATATCAATATCTGCTTTGGCTTAATATTAAAAAACTAGCAAAGACGCTTTAATATGTTGTGTTTTATTAAACTGCACAGAGCAGCATTTTAACAGAAGACTAAAATCTATTTAGTCTGATAAAACAGTGCTGCTGCTTCTCCACGTGATCATGGACTGTGGCATAATAAAAGCTCTGCTGCTCTCATGCTGCACATGATCCTTTCTTAACAGAAATTGCTTCAGCGATTCTCTTCACTTTGACTACTTTCAGCCTTATTCTGTTTCATTCTATCATGATGTAGGAGTTTAATACTTTAGCTTATCCATCATCATTATTTCTGTAGGTGTGCATATGATGTAATAAAAACCTCAACTCCCATGATTCCACACTCAGTCATGTCTTTGTTTGTTGTGAATAAACACCCTCTAGTGGGAAAAATTTTATATTGTGTGCCCTTAATAGTAAATGCCACTTTAATATTTGCGTTTCAATGTGTTTAATAATTTTTGTTTCAATGCATATCTGTTTAAATATACAGTAGTTATCATTCAAAGTGAATCAATGTAATGTAAGGTATTTCTTTATTTAATGCCATGTCAGCAACCAAGGCTATTTTCATGGCAGGAACCTTTCAACAATAAATATATAATTTAAAATCAACAAACAAATGAATACATAAATTAAATAAGATTTTTAGTGTTGATCCATGATAAAAATTCTAAAATCTTTTCTGGTTTCACTTCGTTAAATATGTCCATAAGAGTTCATTTATTAAATAAGTCTTCTGGAATACAAAGTGAATCAAAAATGTTTTTTAAAATTGTCCTAGGACAAGAATGGGTGTTGTTCAATAGTTTTAAGACAACTTTGATGGTAACAATCCACTTCAAATGTTGACTACAGTATATGCCTTTATGAATGACATTATATGTAAATGATTTGTTGTGTGTGAAATAAAATTAGTTTATTGTATGTAAATGTTTTATTTTGTACAATCAGTACATCAAAATGTAAAAATGCCAAGTATACGTCAAAGGATTATTTTTTCTCTCTCAATGCAATTTTGACCCAGTGCATCTTATAGCCAAGTGCAATTTATTTTATAGAAAACACAGCACACTTTTAGAAATGGAAAGCAAGGCATTCTGACCTCAGCTGCGGCATAGCCTGGATACAGCTCCACTCCTAGCTCTTCCGCCTGTTCCCCAAGCCAGCGTACAAAATGCCCCAAGCGAACAAGGTAGTTTCCATGGTTATTCATTGGAAGTCCTGTTCGTCACAAATTGCATGATGTGAATAACCCAGACATGAAAAAAGCTCTTATGGTTTGCGCAGGTTATAAAACCATTCAGTACATTCTGACAAAACAAGAACATTTATATACTTCTGAAGTCACTTCAGTCCTATTGTGTGCATTGTGAGCTCATCCTTATGCAACGGAAATAACCTACCTGGTAGTATTGGTACGGGAATGCGGTATTTTTCTGTCAAAATGGAAAACTTGTCCTCTGTAACTGGAGTGTTCAATGGTGCCTGTTGGACATAAATCAAGAAGCTCAGAAAATTCACATAAATAGAACCCAATACATCAAAAACAGGGGACAGAGTCTATTAGATATTATAATAAATATTTTTAAGTGCCCCATTTTACTATTTACATACAGTCAGATCCATAAATATTGGGACATCGACACAATTCTAACATATTTGGCTCTACACACCAACACAATTGATTTTAAATGAAACAAACAAGACGTGCTTTAACTGCAGACTGTCAGCTTTAACTTGAGGGTTTTTACATCAAAATCAGGTGAACGCTGACGGCAACAGATTCCAAATGCAAATAGCACACTTGAAAATACCTCTGGACCTTTTATCTGCTCATTGTCATTTTGATATTGAGGGAATAACACACATCCAGCCATAGAACAGCTTAGAAGCCAATTGTCCAATTACTTTTGGACCCTTAACAAGTGGGAGGCACATATGCAAACTGTTGTAATTCCTACAGCGTTCACCTGATTTGGATATAAATACAATAAAATTAAAGCAAAGCAATGGATATGTTTTATTTTAAATCCATTGTGTTGGTGTATAGAGCCAAAAATGTTGTGTCGATGTCCCAATATTTATAGAGCTAGCTGTATATTAGTTTTATTGTAGGATGCAATTTAGCTGTTAGTGAATGACAAACATAATCAAAGCTTTAATAATCAACTTGCTTTTGATGTGATAATCACAATAGACTGGGTCACCTGACCAATCAGAGCAGAGCAGGCTCTCAGAAAGGTAACGTTTAGAGGAGTATTGATATTGTGAGAAAAGAGCTGATGCTGCGATGGATATTATGAGAAAATTAAAGTGTCAGAAGTATTAGCCCCCTCTGTCAAGTTTTAATTCTTTTATTTTATTTTTTTTACCTTTTTTCCACACATTTCTTCAACACATTTCTAAACATAATAGTTTTAATAACTAATGTCTAATAACTGATTTTGTTTATCTTTACCTTAATGACAGTACATAATATGTGACTAGATATTTTTCAAGATACTAGTATTCAGCTTAAAGTGACATTTAAAGGCAGGGGTCGTCAATCTTGGTCCTGGAGGGCCGGTGTCCCTGCAGGGTTTAGCTCCAACTTGCCTCAACACACCAGCCTGGATGTTTCAAGTATACCTAGTAAGACCTTGAGTAGTTTGTTCAGGTGTGTTTGATTAGAGTTGGAGCTAAAATCTGTAGGGCACCGGCCCTCCAGGAACAAGTTTGGTGAGCCCTGTTTAAAGGCTTAACTAGGGTAATTAGGTTGACTAGGCAAGTCATTGTATAACAACAGTTTGTAGCCAATCAAAAATATGTATTGCTAAAGGGGGTGTAATAATATTGACCTTAAAACAGTTATTAAATCTGCTTTAATTATAGCAAAAAATAAAACAAACAAGATTTTCTGCAGAATAAACAAATATTATAGGAAATACTGTGAAAAATTTCTTGCTCTGCTAAACATCATTTGGGAAATATTTTGAAAAAGAAAATTCATAGGAGGGCGAATAACTCTGACTTCAACTTTAAATAAATCTATTGTAGGTTTACAAAAAACATGTGGGCTCTTTAATAAAATGTCAGCAGAGAATGCATTTGTACCCCTCTCTCCTTCCAGTCTGGAATGAGCTCGTTAAGTGCGGTGGGCTCCAGACAGGCTCCAGACAGTGTGTGAGCTCCGATCTGAGATGCCTTTTCCACCACACAAACCCGCAGCTCCTTCTCATGCTGATTGGCCAGCTGCTTCAGCCGGATTGCAGCTGATAGGCCGGCTGGACCACCACCAATAATGACAACGTCTGCCTCATCAGCGAAGCGTTCCATTTCTACCCCTGAAAACATTCAATTATAATTCAACTTCATTTGTCATGCAGTTCACAATAATTATTGTTACAAAGCAGCTTAACAAAAGGTGCACATTATTGCATTACAATCAATGTTAGAAAAGTTAAATTTATTAGTTAACATAACTTCATTAGTTGCTAATAATTTTAACTAATTAACTAGAACCTAAAAGCTTTTCAAGAGTTCACACTTAGCTGATAATCAAAAAAGCGTATTTGGCATATAATATCCTCAAGCCCGGGGCTCCCTCCCGTTAGAAGGACGAGAGGGGAGTTTGAGGTCAGGTAGGTCTCGAGAACTCCCCTGCTTGTCACCCTGAGAAGTGTGAACTAAGGTTGTATTGGGTGATAATTTGTTTTAGTCGATTGGCTATGGTTTATGTTTTTGGACGGTGGGAGGACACCGGGGAACCCGGGGGAAACCCACGCGAACACGGGGAGAACATGCAAACTCCGCACAGAAACACCGACCGGCCCGAAGGTTGGACCGGCGGTGTTCTTGCTGTGAGGCAACAGTGCTACCCACTGGGCCACCGTGTCGCCCGATCAGAAAAAGGAGGTGGATGAAGGGGTGGAAAGGGGGGGAGCTTCAAGACGAAGATAACTGGAGTGAAAAACTCAGGTTATTTATAATGCTTCCGTAATCATCTAATAGGGCTGATTACGGGGCTAATAAGGAGCCAGCCATGTTGATTATAAGCATGTGATCCTCTCGAAATTAGTTTATGAATAAACCACACTTAATACTTAAAAGGTATTATATATAAACTTAGATAATCCAGTTATATATCACATAGGTGATGTCTATATGCACATGTTTAATGAAGTATATTTGTGTATAAAGTTTATGTAATAACAATAATAGCAATAATAATAATAATAATAATAATAATAATAATAATAATAATAATAATAATTCCTTACATTTATATAGTGCTTTTCTGGACATTCAAAGCTCTTTACACATTTTTGGTTGGGAATCTCCTCATTCACCACCAGTTTGCAGCACCATGATGGACAGAGGCCAGGATGCCGGGGTTAAAACCCTACTCTTTTCAAAGGACATCCTGGAATTCTTATTGACCACAGAGTCTCTCATGCGAAAGAATGCGCTCACTGAGCCGTATAGTCGTCTCATCCGAAACTCTGAGCAGTATAGAGTCCCCATCAATATACTGGGGCGTTAGGACCCACAAAGACCACAAGTTGAGCACTCCTTGCTGGTCTCACTAACATCACTTCTGGCTGCAACCTAGCTTTCCCATGTGGTCTCCCATCCAGGTACTGACCGGACTAGCTTTAGTGGGCAACCATGTGAGAGTTAGCTGTTGGCTGTGTTGTCCTCATGACAATTAGGGCTGAACAACATATCGCTTGAGCATCGATACCTTAATGTGTGGATTATTTATTAAAGAATAAAATATAAAGATATATTTATATTTTTGTATTATGTATACAATAATGACCATGCTATTTTACATTGCTCAATTTCTCTATTGTTAGACTCAGAGTTAAGATAAAGTATGGAGCACAGTTTATTTAACTTTTATATTTGCTCTGTCATTTTTTTATAAGTGCTTGTGATTTATTATATTTTATGCAGATGTGCTGCATAGAAAAAGACTTGATCATCCCAGTAGATCTAAATCAACGCAATATTTCCAAACCGAGCTAATTAAAGGGTCACAAAACACCAAAACACATTTTTTGAGCTGTTGACAGTCATATATGTGCCCCACGCCGCTATAAACACTATTAGGACACATATTTCACGAAAAAGTAAAAAATTGGTTGTTTTTGTGTTATTTTGAGCAAATTCGTTGTTCCGGTTTGAAGCTGCGTCACGGCGATTGGATCCTTGAGTGTATTCCAGCGTGGAGACTGGATGTCTGTACCTGCGAGGGCATCGTGATGTCTCTGAGTGTGCAGCATTTATTCATGAGAAAGACTTGGTTTAAACCAATCAGCGTGCTCATTTGTGAATGAGTTGCAACTTCATTAATATGCAGGATAGATTTAAAGACCCCTTGGTTTTACCCATTACAGTGTTCAGACAGTAGAGAGACGCCACGTTGTGTTGCCAAAACAAGTGGAAGAACAAGAATCTGGAGACATGGGTTGTCAGTGTTGCGTTTATTAATGTGATGCAACGAAGAGTTTTCTTTTCATTTTCGCACTATGAGAGCGCAGCTGGACTCACGTGTGGATTAGTGCACGTGACAGAAATGCCCTTGTAAGGAACATTTACATTTTACACGAGAGCTTTTCACATCTGGAAATGGTAAAATCTGGATTTGCATGCATGAAATGTTCCTGAATGAAAGTGAAAGTGTCAAACTGCAGTTAAAGTCGACAAATTAAGAATTTGGCAAATAATTGGATTACTGATGTCCATGTAAACACAGTCACTGTCTTTATACCCTGCGTCTGTGTTTTGTTTTGCCTCTGTGAAAATCAGCATATGCCCAAACAGAAACTCCCATTTTTATGCAAACTCTTCCCTCTTTCCCTCCCCTGACACTCCCACCTAAACCGAGCTGGACACACCCACTTTCCTGACTTTTTCCAAACTAGAGGTGTGAAAAGACCCTGCTGAAACAGGGGGATTTCGTGACCCTTTAAATTATCAGGCAAATTTATATTTCCATTTCTATATAAATCGCAGTAAAACAAAATATGCATTGTCAGATTAGTCTAATATCATGCAGCCCAAATGACAACAGACAATCACAATCAGTATCATCTAACTAACTAGACACTAAATACAAGCAATGTTTATGGTCTAAAAATATAGTGATACTCTGGAGGCAAAGTTCAGTAAATGTCAACTCAGCTACCAAGAACTGAGATAATGAGAATCAATGCTGAGAATAATAACAGCCCAATAATCCATATTACAAGTGAAAAATACATCTGTCAAACTAAGGGTGAAATTACCAGAGTGTGACAGAAGTGTTTACAGGGACAAAATTAAAACATTTTAATTTAAAAAGTACTAAACAATATATAATATTTTATAGAATATTCAAACTTAATAAATGTTTATATAGATAATTAAAATGTTCTCATGTATGAGGAACAGGGTTTCTGCAGGTTTCTTCAAGTGAAATTAATAATTAAGACTTTTTAATACCATTTTCAGACCATTATAAATGAAATTTTAGACTTCTGCAGGGCTAAACTCTAAGGATTTTTTCTAATGGCTCGGTTATTTCTGTAAATCTTTTTTCATATTAATGTAAGATCATGTAAAGGGATGTGTTGCTTTAGTTTTCTTTCCCTGATTATGAAATTTAATATAGTGAATTTGCAGTAGAAACATCTGACAGCTGTTGTAAATTAGATCTCTTTGCAATTAAAAAGGTTTGAAATGGATTATTAGTGATTTGGGTTTCAGCCCGATTGGGTAATTTTTAATTGGACATAGGAAAATATAGACCTTCAACCCAACCCGACTTTTTAAGGCCTACATTTTTTAAAAATTTTTTTAATTGAAGACATTTTAATATTTTTTAAGACTCTGTGGACACCCTGGGGGAAATCCCATTGTAACGTATGAAAACAGTTTTATTGGTCTTACTCACAGACAGGCTTAAAAAATAAACTTGCAGGCATGATGAAAATCATTTAATGCTATGTCAACAATACCAGTCATTTTATGGCAAAAACAATTCATGAATAACATAAAAACATAAAAACCACAAACAAATTAATACAAAAATAAGAATATTTCCGTTAATATATGATAAAACTATTTCTATTTTGTTCCTGGTGACACTTCATTTCATAAAAACGTCAAGAGAAAACTAGAAAACAAATACAATCAGCATCTTTGCATTAATTTTTTTTTTATATCTATAATATTTAGAGACAAATGTTTGTATTCTCTCATAAATGCTGTTTTTTCAACGTATAATAAACTCTGTCCCCATAAAGTCTTTGTACCCAGTGTTTACATTAAAAGAGGATCATGTGAACTGACCTTCCCATCGCGAGTCCTTGTCTCTGGGGTAAACTGTGTAATGTGTGGTAATCCGTGGCACAGAGGAGAACCAGCGTGTGGAGTAAATCTGAGGAGCAACATGCTCTGCTTTAACCACCTTCAGTGCATGTATACACCTCCGTGCTGTGAAAACACAATAAAGGAAACATACAGATCAAGTACATAGCAGATCAATCCCATACAGATACACATTAACAGCACATCTTACTACATCACATAGTATAGCATTACAAACACAAGTTGGGTCACAAATGGCGAGAGGGGTCTGGATGCAGATCTAGTGCAGTGCAATCTGAGCTGCATCCAATGCTTTTTAATGCGCTCACCTAACCCCACCCCTAACCCGTCACCGTGACGTCACTCACTCCATTGAGTGCATTGCATCGCTGAGTGTTTTCACTGAGAAATGCGTAAAAATATTACATTTTCAAAGGGGGTGTATTTATTTATCCTGTGCACTGTGTATACATTTATTATTGTGATTGTTCTCTGAACGTTTTCGTGAATACTTTAAATCAGTGGTTCTTAAACTTTTTTCATCAAGTACCACCTCAGAAAACAATGGGGTATATGCCGAAGCATGCTAATAGGACTTTTAATTTGCCAGTAACCTGGGTTAAGCGCTTCCGGCGAAGTGAATGCCAATGCAAAATCTGGTGCGTTTAAGGTCTGTTTTCTTTAAAAATCAGCAATCTCCACTAGCTGAGTGATATCCGATTTAAAGTGGGTCTCAGATTGTACAAGAAGCACTGCATTACATTACATTTTCCCCACCATATCTTTATAATACAAGCATTTATTTTACCCCAGTATATTCAATGGAGCTTCTACGTTAGTCTGCCGATTCTGACAGGCGCATGCGAGTAAACGGCTTTTTGTCTCATTTTACGCTTGAGCAACTAAATAAATGCTAAAGTTTATTTAACTGAATGTATTTTAATGACATTACAACATCGATGCTGTATAAGGAACCGTATAAAATGGAAAAAAGTTCACAATAACAGGTCACCGGAAGTGTATTAGCATGTGAACAGCACTAGCTCGGCATATACCCTATTGTCTTTCCAAGTACCACCATACAGAGCAATATTGAAATAGTTAATAGATTAATTCCTACTATTAAGAATATTTATTATTGTAAGTCACTTTAAACATAATAAATAGTCTGAACATTAACACTGTACTGTGCTTATTTGTAAAAAAAAAAAAAAAATAATAATAATAATAATAATTCTTAAAAACGTCAACATTTAAATTAAAATGTTCTTTTAAAAGTTTAAAAATGTAGGTTACTGTTCTTAAATAATCCTCTACTTAAAAGTATTAACATAAAGTAGCCACCTGGAATAGTTAGAAACACCTGGAAATGTTGCCTGGATCTCAGAAATATAGGCTATATGTCATCATATATTTATATACAAGTCATTTTTGTTAAATTTTGAAATATATGTAGCATGTACACATGACATATTTGATTCCTCCGCCTACCACTAGAAGGAAACCTGCGTACCACTAGTGGTACACGTACCACAGTTTGAGAACCACTGCTTTAAATAAATCATAAAAAAGGTTAGCACACAGCCTTTTTTGCTCATGTATACCAAGAATAACAATATTAGTGGATGAGGGCACAGTTTAATGTCCATTGTGCACGTAAAGTTGATCAACTCAATGGATCAACACTATACCGCAGGTGGGCGAGGCAGTGGCACAGTAGGAAGTGCTGTCGCCTCACAGCAAGAAGGTTGCTGGGTTGCTGGTTCGAATCTCGGCTCAGTTGGCGTTTCTGTGTGGAGTTTGCATGTTCTCCCTGCCTTCGCGTGCGTTTCCTCCGGGTGCTCCGGTTTCCCCCACAGTCCAAAGACATGCAGTACAGGTGAATTGGGTAGGCTTAATTGTCCGTAGTCTATGAGTGTGTGTTTAAATGTGTGCGTGGATGTTTCCCAGAGATGGGTTGCGGCTGGAAGGGCATCCGCTGCGTAAAAACTTGCTGGATAAGTTGGCGGTTCATTCCGCTGTGGCGACCCTGGATTAATTAAGGGACTAAGCTGTCAAGAAAATGAATGAATGAATGTATACCGCAGGTTATGCTGTTACAAAATCCTTCTTTAAGTAACAGGTCAGCTAAGGTGATCTAAAATAAGAAGACTGACTGGCAAGCTTGTTTGGTTGCTTTCAGTAGGCCTCATGAATACATTTAAAACACGAAGGAATTACTAAAAAGTCTACTTCTCAGACATAAGGACACACACTCTGACATTGAGGTAAAGTTGATTTAAAGTCGCACATTCGTTCGTTTTTAACAGTGACAACTTGTGATAGGCAACCCTAAATATTATTCGGTCTGAAATCACCCATAATATATGACTTAAAAACAAATAGAGGTAAAGTTGGTTTTATATTCGCACATTTGTTCATTTAGCAGTCTCTATATTGTTTACCATGTTACGTTGAATATTCGATGGGAATTAGCATGCAAGTATGACTTCAAAACAATTCACTGTGAATAATGCTGTACTTTGATAATCATTTGCTGCTAGTATGATTTGCCTATTTAAAATTTGCAAAGAATACTTTTCTGAAACTATATCATTAAGGAGAATGTCTGAATATCCAAATATAAAACCAGCTTTGCCTCCATTAAAAACAACATTAGCACTATTTAATCGACTGCACAATGTTGTACTTTGATAGTCATTGACTAACATGATTTCCCAATTTAGAATTAGCCAAGTATACTTTTCTGAAACGATATTAGGGAGAAAGTCCGAATATGCGAATACAAAACCAACCTCACCTCAACAACTCTGACCCATATCCGAGTGACCTTTGCCCTACTTTCCCTGAGTGTTGAACAGCTGCTTCTGTTAGTTATCAAACTGACAAAACAAAGCGTTTAGAACACAAAACATGACATGCCCCGTGTATAAACGGATAATAACCGCTTAATAGGAGCGTTAACACGCTCTCGGCTGTACAGAATCAGAGGTTTGCTTGGTTTTGTTAGCGTTCAGGCTAACTTGCTCGACAGTGAAGCGCAACAGTGAGTTACCTTGGAGGGTATATCTACTTGCTGGCAACATTTGTGGAGCTGTATGTGCCGCTGTGGCTCGGCTCAACTCTTCGGCTGGTTTTCCAGGTTGAATGCGGACAAACACTTCTCACCTCTGTTTACCCTGTTACAGAAGAAGTGTCATAACACAACTCGAGCAGCGCGTCTGTGTTGGCGCAGCCCAACATGACGTCAGAGGACGCGCCGGAAATAGGAGATGGAGACGCAGATCATGAGCACATGTGGATTTTTAAAAAGATATTTATAATAAACAAATTGAAAAAAGATTAAGAAAAAACGAAAGACATAAAAGTGCACTAAATGGTTTTGCACTTATAAGGGTTATTTTATGTAAGATTTCTTACACAAAGCTACACAAAAATCTCAGCTTACATTATAAAGGCTGCATCCAGATACTATTGAAAATAAAGTCCACGAGTGAAGAGGCTCCAAGTGGCAGTCTCCAAATTTAAACCATGAATAGTGCTGTAGTCTTGTGCAGTAAACATTGCCCACCATTCTCATTAAGTAAGGTTAATATTAATATAAAAAATAATATGGTTGTTAGACTGTTGCACTGTTGTCAATAAGCTTGTTTATATTGGTGCGTGTGGACCGTTATGTGCAATGTTTGTATGTTGATAGCCACCTCCAAGGATAGTGGGGGTCACAAGTCACTGGAATTGTTATTTTGGGGGTCGCGAGCTGAAAAGTTTGGGAACCCCTGAATTAGAGGCTGGCTATATTCACACACTGTTGGCACAACTTTAATGTGATATTTCTTTGGTGTTTAAACTATCTGTCATTATTTACTTACAGGTGTCATATTAGGTGATGCTGAAATCAACTTTATATAGTTTTCCATGTCTTTAAAAAAAGAAAACACAAAGACTGGAGAAATTAAATGACAGAATGAATAAAATAAAACAATAAAATAGGAAGTGAAAATATAAAAATGTAATAATGAAAATAAGCAAACCTTTACATTAAACGAAATAAAATGAATGTAAATTAAATGTTAACATTAGAAACAATACAAATATAAACAATGAAATGAAATACAATTATCAACAGAAATTAAATAAAATATTATAAAAATAAAAAACTGAAAAAAAATAATTAAGTTGAATTAGGGATTGAATTAATTTAATGAATTATAAATGTATTAAATAAAATTAAAGAAATTATCATTCATTCGTTTTCTTTTCGGCGTAGAACTTTATTAACCAGGGGTCACCACAGTGGAATGAACCACCTAAAATAAAATGTAATACATATTTATTATAGAAATTTAGTTTCCACTTTCACCAAGTCTGTGTTCGTCTCCATAGAGAGGCAGACCTGAAACACGGTCAAGATTTTCCAGGGCAGACTCAGATTGACCTATTTACAAGCCAATTTTGCAGCCTGTGCATCTGGTTAATCTGGTTTATATTAGCCCTGCAGAATCAGGCTTGCTGCAGAAAGTGCTTAATTATTACTTTCAAATGTGTTTATTTGTCAAAGAGACTGTCTCATGTGTTCAGTGCGTGTGATGCTTGCTTTCTTTCACATTTCATTTAAGTAAATTATATTATCAAGCCTTGTGTTTACTTCAAGAACTGCATCACAAGACTGAAATATGTTGGTCACACTTTATTTTGATGCTTTGTTTGTTGAATTTAAGTTACATTACATCTACATGCCAACTAATTCTCATTAGATTATAAGTAGACTGTCAGGTTGGGGCTAGTGTAAGTTGACATGTACTTGAAAAGTACAGGAGCAGTATTAGATATTAAGCTATTACAGATATTAAGCAGACAGTCTACTAATATTAAAATGGACCATCAAAATAAAGTGTTACTCATAAGTTAGGTTAAATTTAAAGGGGACCTATTATGCCCTTTTTACAATATGTAAATAATAATTCTATGATGTCTCTAGAGCAGGGGTGTCAAAACTCGGTCCTGGAGGGCCGGTGTCCTGCAGAGTTTAGCTCCAACTTGCCTCAACACACCTGCAAGGATGTTTCTAGAAAGCCTAGTAAGAGCTTGATTAGCTAACCCAGGTGTGTTTGATTGGAGTTAGAACTAAACTTTTTAGGACACCGACCCCCCTGGACAGAGTTGCCTGGCCTAGGGAGTAGGAATTATTGTCACTCTTTGGTCATTTTAGGAGCAAGATGCTAATAGTCTAATCCAATTCAATTATTTATGCTAAACTAAGCTAAGCTAAAGGTGCTCCTGTCATGATCATCCGCGATCTAACCAACAGAGGTCGCTGCTAAACAGTCCCTTTCACATGAACAAATCCACCACATTATGGACTACATATTCAGTCATGCAGCACACACACACCTGCTCCAAGTCTCCTCTGATTACACTCTCACAGCTGATGCTGCTCAATGTCTGATTACACACACATATTCGGCTCACTTTGAGACACTCATGGCTAAGTCTTGTTATCCGTTTAGTGACATTACAACACGTTTCCCTTTGTCTTGCATGTTTTGAACCTTTGCTTTGTTTGATCATTCCTGTATGCTGCCTGCCTACGACTCTGGATTGCCCTCACACATCTGTTTGCTCTTGTGTTGATCTTGCTTGCCTGACCATCCTGTTAATGAAACTCTGCATTTGGATCCTCACTCCTGTTGTCAGTGTCACAAAGTGAGCCGGATATATGTGTGTAATCAGTCATGGAGCAGCATCAGCTGTAAAAGTGTAACCAGAGGAGACTCGGAGCAGGTGTGTGTGCTGCATGACTGAATATGTAGTCCATAACATGATGGATTTGTAGTTCATGTGAAAGGAAGTGTTTACCAGCGACCTCAGGTGGTTAGATTGCTGGTGATCATGACAGCTCCCGCCAGATCTGGCGATCATTTTAACTGTATTCTCAGAAATAAAGGTACACCCGCTGTCACTGGGGTGGTACCTTTTCAAAAGGTACACATTTGTGCTTGAAGGGTTTATTGTGGTACCTCAAAGGTATGTATTAGTACCTACAAATTTTAGAATGAACACTTTTTTAAGTACTAATATGTACTCGAGGTATTAATATGGACCTTTTAGGTACAAGTCTGTACCTTTTCTAAAGGTACCACCCCAGAAAAAGCTCTGGTTTCTGAGAGTGTAGGGGAGATGTTAAATGAGCCCATTTAAAAAATAATTGTGTATGTTCCTTTAAAAATAACTAGTAGAACATTTAGTTACTTTTTTTAAAGTAGTAAACCAAGACTGTAATATATGACTTTTTATCATGTCCACTTTACAACATTGGCCCATTGTGAAAACGTACCCCTACATACATTTCTGGAGATGGCAAATTATGTAGCCAAAAAAACATATGGCTGCATTTTATCTTTAAAACGAATGCTACAGGGAGGTATAACGCAGTTGCTTTTCTTGCTTACTAGCTGACAACTTTCCTCCGTATGGACGGCTTTCCTACAATTACTAGTTTGTCCAGTAGCTTGCCACGTACATCGGCAAACTTTTGGTGTGGATTGGAGATGACCACGACGGCAGGTTCAAGTCTGGTGAAGAACAGTTCCAGAAAGCAGGTAAACAAAAACAAAAGCCAAAAAATAAAATAGACAAGAAAATAACAGGGTGAGAATGTGGTAAAATCTGAAAACGTGGTAAAAATCAGACGAGGGCTGTTCTGCTTTTAAATTGCTTTTGAAAACATTTGTAGTTAGATATGGGGAAGGAGGAGGGTGGGTCAGTCGATTAGTCAGTCAGTCGACAGCGGCCTCTGGTAGATTTATGGGAGAACGGCAAACGCGAATGGCACTCGCAAGAAAAATTTGAGTTCTCAAAAAGTGTCAACAGCGGCCTCTGGTGAGTTCGTGATAACAAAAACTACAAAAAAATGTAGCTCCAGGGACACATTTGGTGCTCTCCAGAAATGTATATAGGGGTACGTTTTAAAAATGAGCCTGGATTGGAACACAAACATAAGAGGCTGAGAAACAAAATACTAATTTCAGATGGCACTTAAGAGGGTTTTCGCATCTGAACTCTTTATGTCATCCTGGAACTAGATTTCTGCGGTGTGGACATTCATCTAACATAGTAACCTTTGAAACATGAGCATGACCTAAACTGTAGATCACTGTAAGCATCAGGTTGCTTTCTGTAAAGTTGCTTTTGATATGATAGCTATCTTGAAAAGCACTATATACAAACTGAATATAGAAAACACTGCATTCAAGTCAGGAGACTTTTTGAAAATGTAGTTTGCTTTTTAATGGACATCTTTACATTCATTAAATTAAGGTCAATGGCTGAACACAAAACAGTGAATCATTAAAATATCCTCTTAGCTTTTTGGTGGGCTGACAGTGTCAAAAACAATATTTGCAAATGACTGCAGATGTAAATGATGAGCGCTGTGAGAGCGACACTAATGCTGTTTTATTAATAGGCGACAGCTCTTTTAAATGTGTCCCCAAAGCAAAGTCATCCAACATAAAAGCCCAGCGCCTGAACAACTCATCCCGAGCACAAGCCCATGTCCTGCTCAAAGTGATAATTATTATATCAATGTCACAAACACCTCAGGCCACATTTCAAACTAAGATATATTATATATTATAATGCAAATAGAGGATATAATGAACAACACAGAACATATTTTAAGACCATACTTAAAAATAAAATGTGACATTTCTTTGATGACAAACAAACATTTCCTTTCTTAAATTCTCATAAATATAACACACTTTTTGTATTTTATTCTTAACATTTTTACATTTTTAGTTCATTAATGTTCTTGTGTATATAAATCATTTTAGCAGTTTGTAATTTCTATTTTCTCAAAATTTTTACCTATTAAAGGGTACCTATGATGAAAATCGACTTTTGTAAGCTGTTTGGACAGAACTTGTGTGGATACAGTGTTCCACTGTCATATTGGAGTGATATAAACTCAACAAGTTTTTTAAAAATTTCCTGATGTTAAAATAGGATCCATATCCCAGTGATTTTGAGGCCCAGCACAACGTGATGTAGGACTGTGGTTTTCCCCGCCCACCGATTGATTGACAGGCGCCATTTTTCTATAAAAACATGTACGCACATGTCCACAAAACAAAGTGGGTGGGTGGGTCAATCTATGCTTTTAAAAAACACTATCGGTTGGGGGATGTGGGTGGGCAGATCAACCTTTGTTTTTTTAAAAACACTTATATGTTGGGGGAAGTGGGTGGGTGGGTCAATCTATGCTTTTGAAAAAAACTATTGGTTGGGGGAAGTGGGTGGGGGGTCAATCTATGCTCTTGAAAACACTATCGATTGAGGAAGTGGGTGGGCGGGTCAATCGGTGCTTTTGAAAACACTATGAATTGGGGGAAGTGGGTGGGTGGGTCGATCTGTACTTTTGAAAACACTATGGGTTGGGGGAGGTGGGTGGCCGGTTCAATCTGTGCTTTGGAAAACACTATCAGTTGGGTTTAGGGAAGGAGGAAGGTGGGTCAGTCGATCGGTCATTCAGCCAGTCAGTCAACAGTGGCCTCTGGTGGATTTTATGGGAGAATAGCAGGCGTGAATGGCACTCACAAGAGAAATTTGAGAGCTCAAAAAGCGTAAACAGCAGCCTCTGATGGATCCAATATAAAATCAAATATATGAAAAATTTAATTATACACGATTCACTGACTGGACTGTGTAACTAAAGTAAAAAAATCATACAGTATATATAACCACAGGTAAATAGTATTTCCATAAAATCTCCACTAAAATCCTTCTGATGATCCCAGAATTAACAAGTCAAAAGCCGAGCATGACGTGTTGTTCCCTGTGTGCTTATAGGAAAAAAGATAATTAAAATGACTGACAGATGTGCGCAATTAAAACACCAGAGCTCTGTCTGTCCAGCTCCTGCTGCTCACAGTATAAAGACGGAGATTTCCAGTGGAAACCCAACATCTGTCCAGAACGTGAATGATGCTTCAACCAGTTTGGCTAAGAAAAAATAACTCTGTACAATATATATATTTACATGTAATATACAACATGTACAAAGAGCAGCGGTGCTTTCCATGCTACACGTTTTCAGAAACACAGGTTAAACACTGACGAGCGGTACAAACACTAGAGATCATCAGTACAGCAAATAGGACCAAAGGGGGGGGGACATTTCACACAGACTGAGGACAAAAACACTGGAGGACATTTATTATTCAGTGGATGAAGACTCTGTGGACGAGATTCTCCCTGTAAACAAGCCTCATTTATTCAGTACAATCAGATGACCTGCACTCTGAATGTCCTGCTGGGGTCTGAAAGAGATGTTCTAGTCAGAAATGAAGATTCTGCCATCATTTACTGACTCTTGTGTTGATGATAAAGCTTTTAAGATGTTTTTTTTTCTGTGCAATGAAGATCAATGCGGTCAAATCTTTCAGTTTCTTCTTTGTGAGATTAGTGATATTTTACTTTTATTGATATTATACTTGAGGTGGCATGGTGGCTCAGTGGTTAGCACTGTCGCCTCATAGCAAGAAGGTTGCTGGTTCGAGTTCCAGCTGGGTCAGTTTGGATTTCTGTGTGGAGTTAGCATGTTGTTTTGCATGTGTATGAGTATGCGTGTGTGAATGAGTGTGTATGGGTGTTTCCCAGTACTGGGTTGTGGCTGAAAGGGCATTCGCTGTGTAAAAAATATGCCGGAATAGTTGGCGGTTCATTCCGCTGTGGTCACCCCTGATGAATGAAGTGACTAGGTCAAAGAAAAATGAATGAATGGTGTAATACTTTTAGTGTTGTTTTGAATAGTTTTGGTTGTGCGGTGGCACAATGGGTAGCGCTTTTGCCTCACAGCAAGAAGGTCACTGGTTTGAGCCTCGGCTGGGTCAGTTCTATGTGGAGTTTGCATGTTCTCCCCATTTTGGCGTGGGTTTTCTCCGGGTCCTCCGGATTCCTCCACAGTCCAAACACATGCACTATAGATGAATTGAATAAGCTTAATTGGCCGTAATGTGAATGTGTGCACATGAGAGTTTCCCAGTACTGGGTTGCAGCTGGTAGGGCATCCACTGTGTAAAACATATACTGGAATAGTTTGGCCTTACTAACAACACTTCCAACAGCAACCTAGTTTTCCCATGTGGTCTCCTATCCAGGTACTGACCAGGCTCATCCCTGCGTAGCTTCAGTCAGTACCCGGTCTTGGGCTGCAGGGTGATATGGCTGGCCTCAGTTCCAAGATATTTGGCGTTGGGGAATCCATCCTTTAGGGCGGGGCTATCAGTGTTTAAGGTGGGGGCTATTAGTGCCTTAGGGCGGGACTATCAGTGCTTTAGGGTGGGGCTATCAGTGCTTTAGGGTGGGGCTATCAATGCCTTAGGGCGGGGCTATCAGTGCTTCAGGGTGGGGCTTTCAGGGCATGTCTCATTTCTTCTTTGTATTCATCCATACGTCAATCTTCCTTTATTTTGTTAGCAACACCCATCGTTCAACAATCCAATTGGTTCGCAAAGAATGATATCATGCTCCGCCCTAACTTTTTTTTATCATTTTAAGTGAATGTACGTCACTATGGAAACAAAGCACAGTTTTAACCTCCATTTCATGACTTAAGATGCTGATGACTCTCAAAACCATCTAATGAAAAGGGTCCCTTGACTCCCTCCTGATCAGCAGCCCATCAGCTCTCCTGCACATAAACATCAACACACATTTAAAATAAAGCAGTATGTCCGATCTGAATGAAACCGTGTCTGTGAGGTGAAGGGGACGCCCTTCTGATGCCCTCACGTGCCGTTGGACGCCTCCACAGGCAGTAAGTGTGTGGTGTTGCAGATGTCAGATGGGTGCGAGCACAGGGTCTGGCTGTTTTCCTGCAGGGGCCACATCTCCTGCCAGGTGAAGGAGGGCAGATGCGGCGGCCGGCTGCTGAACAGGGGTCTCCTTTGTCTGTAGTTTGACCAGACCTGGAGAAGAGTCTCTTTAAAGGGCCTCGTGGTCAGTGTATACAGGATGGGGTTCAGAGCGCTGTTGATGGGCAGAATGAAGATGACCACCCATGAGCTGATGGTTCCTGAAGAGATAAACACATTATGCATTACATCGATCTGAACAGTTGAAGCCAGAATTATTAGCCATCCTGATTTATTATTAGTCCCCTGTATATTTGTTTGCCCCAATTTCTGTTTAATGGAAAGAAGAAGAAAAAAAAGATTAATTGATGCATCGTGATTCTTTTCCTAATGATTCTGAATCGATTCTCAAAAGTTTAGAATTGATTCTGTATTATATTTAGATTGCAATCAGTGCAAGTTGTGAGCTAGAAACATAGATATATACACTAGATATTGCATAGGGACCCTGAGCATGCATCAATAGCGCCGCCATATTTGTACAGTGCTCCCAGGAGAAGTGTCATTCAACCGCACTAGCCAAGACAGTGTTACTACCTGAAAATGCTGGACTTCAGCGATGTGTACGGGTGTAGTAACGAGCAAACAGAAAACAAAGCACAGAGGCAGAACATTACATAGGTGAGGTTTAGTTTTTTACGTGTTTGTATGTTATGAACTTTTGTGCTACACAGGTCACGTGATTGATGATAATACAGTCACTTACTGCATTCACCATAAGGCAAAGTAGCACCAACTCACACTAAATACCCGGCTTATACTAGTTTTGTTGAATAAAATCAGCAAACAATGCAAAAGAAATATGACAACATGATGCAACGTGAGAGAAACTAGTATTATTATCGGCTAGTGAAGAAGTCGTTCATAACGGAGAGTCATTTACAAACGAATCGCTCCCTCCGTCAGTATGAAAAGTGAAAGCAGGAGAGGAGGTGTGTTTCAGGACACCAATTAGATCAAAACTAACAAGGAGGATAGATAGTACATTTCCATACACACAAACACAAGCTTTTTGTCAGGAATGCCTGTGCGATCACTTATTAATCAATGTAGAAATGTAAAATATAATTTTTGTAATTTACAAAAAAAGAAATTAGCATACCGACCTCCGGGAAAACTCCCGATCAAAGATATATGTATATATGTGTAATTCTCTGGCTTTAGATGGCCACAGTCCTCCACTGCAGCTTGGTCCCGCATTCATTTCAAAGGAGCGCTACCCTGTACTAAAATGGCGGCTCTATTGACATTCCTTCCAATAGACAACAATAGGGTAGGCGACATCTAATGTATATATCTATGAGCTAGAAAAATAAAAATAATAAGCTTTGACAGGCGCATATACATATGGACAAACGTAAAGGGATAGTTCACCCAAAAATGAAAACTGACTTATTACTTACACTCAAGTAATTTAAAACCTTTATGATTTTCTTTATTCTGTGGAGGACGTATTGAAGAAAGCTGAAAACCATTTGCTTACATAGCAGTTGCTTTTTCCTACTATGGAAGTCAATGGTTACAGGTTTTTAAGCATTAATCAAAATATCTTTTGTGTTCAACAAAATAAAGAAAATCTTAACAGTTTGGAAACACTTGAGGTACAATAAATAATGAATAATTTATCATTTTGTATGAAATACTGCTTTATTAAAAAAGTTAAAGGTTTGGACCAAGTAAAGAGTGAATAAATGAGAAGAAGTTTTATTTTTGGGTGAACTATCCATTCACTTAACTCGGGAAATATAATTTCATGAAGAGGACATAACTATCTTTAAGTGAAATTACCCAAAAAGCACAAAAAACATTACTGAATGTTTCTGAATTTCATAAATATATTCAAAATAAAAAATCTTGTTCAAGACCGGTATAACTTTTTGCATAGACAAACATTTTTTTTTCTTTCTGATGAATCATGTGACACATTTAGGGGCCTATCATACACCCGGCGCAATTGTGGCGCAAGGCGCAACGCAATTGTTGTTTGCTAGTTTCAGCTCGGCGCAAGAGTCGTTTTGACGTTTTGCACCACGCTGTTTAAATAGCAAATGCATTTGCACTCATATGTGCGCCCATAGGCGTTCTGGTGTAAAAAAGGGAGGCGTGTTGAGGTGCATTGCTGGTGCGTTGCTATTTTGAGGAACTTAAATAGACCAGAACAAAGCAGGTCTAAAGTCCAGCACAGAGCGCGTTAGTTGTGCGCCTCGCTTACACACTGCTTAATACAGACAGGATGTAGAGCAATACACAAATATCTTTACAAATGAAAAAAAAAATATTAAGGATATAAATAGGATATGATAAGAATATATATAGGATATAAATATAAAGAATTAAAATATGACAACACATATTATTTTCTAGCCTACATAAATATTAAAACCATACTTTTATGTCTACTTCATTTCGGGAGGCTTTTTCAGTTTATTCATAACAATTTGCTTAGATTTGCCCACCTGTCAGGTTTTAGACCAGGGGTCTCAAACTTGCGGCCCGCGGGCCATTTGCGGCCCTCAGTGCAATATTTTGTGGCCCGCGCCGACCGCTGTACTCTGACAGAATCAGCGGAGCGGGGAGAGAGAGCGCTCCCCGCTCCGCTGATTCTATCCGTACACAGCGCGCTTGTCACTCAATGTGCGTTGTCGCGCGCGTTCTGATCAGCTGTGTTGTTGCGCGCGTACTCAAGAGCGGTGTTATCGCGCGCCTACTGAAGGGCGGGACCGAGAGTGTGTCGCGTCGCGGGGGCACTTTTGATCATTTTGGAAGGGCACTTTCTATGCAAGACTAAAAAGGGCACGTGCTCTGTACAGGTTGAGCCCTATGTATGCATGTGCCTGCCCTGCATCTTATATATATTGATATTATAGGTAGATACAGACTGGTACAGACTGATGTGACTGGAGTGGGGTGGGGGTGTTTTATTTATACATATATACGCCTTTTTTTTAGGTGAGGGAATGGAAGTTTTGAGTGAGTTCCCCCACTTTCTTCCCTAGGACTTCAATAAGTCAAAGTACAGGTCTAGACTTAATGATGATCATCTTCAAGCCATACTGAGGGTCTCAACTGCTTCCGCTCTAAAGCCAAATGTGGTTCAGATTTGTGAGAAGAAGCGCTGTCAAGTCTCTGGCAGCAAGGAGTAGGCAAAAGATGCCATGTTCAGAAGAACTGTTCATAATCTTCACTCAATGTTCTAATAATGTTCAGGACACTTCATGTTCAGAAGAAATAATTAAAACTGTTAATAATGACATTTGAGGACTTTTTTTGTGAAATCCCTTATGCGGCCCAGCCTCACCCAGACTTTGCCTCCTGCGGCCCCCAGGTAAATTGAGTTTGAAACCCCTGTTTTAGACCATATGGGGCACGGCATGTGTATTTGGATATAACTCAGGTTTTTGAGCACACTTCATTATTATTGTTCATTTATTCGATTGCTGGAAATTAGAACTGAATTTAGAAATAGTTTTGAAACAAATCTTTGCACTTAACAAACAAAATTAATTATGTATAGGCTAATGGATGTCTGTGCGTACAATGTTTCCCTATACACGAGAGTGAAAGTAAAGAATGAGGAGGTTCATCTTTCATTCTTGCGCTGCAGATGCTCTGCTTAACTGTTTTCTCGCTAGTGGAATGCTCAGTTTTTCCACTTACAAAGTCCGTCATGTAAATAGCAAATGCGCTATGGCGGGACGCAACTGACTCTTAAAGGGAATGGGAGATGAGACTCTAAATGGTTTATTCTCAAAACACACCTATAACTCATTAAGAAAATAAGCTCAACCCTTTTAGACCATGCGCCACGGCGCAAAGCGAATTTTTCGGCCCTTAAAATAGCAAAAGTGGGTTCCGACATGCTCTTATTGATTTTGCGCCCTGCGCTTTGCACTTTGGCATGGATCATCAAAATAGAGCCCCTCATGTTAAATCTTTCCAAGCTGAACTAATTCATAAATTCTGTGTGCATAATTCAATGACTACTTTCAGATTAGTGGAGTTTCTCATGCAAAATGTGTATATGTCCGCAAAATGGGATGCTTTTGAATCACATTCCTCATTCACAGCAATTCCCTGCCAATCCCAACTTTTAAAGTTTATCATAAAAAAAGCCTTAAGTATATCTGGAAAATAGTCATATGAACTAGATTTATGCTACTTTTTAAAAGCTTAAAATCTTCGGCTCGCATTCATTGCGATAACATGTAAAACAAAAAACAGCTCTTTATTCAAAAAGACTCTCCACGGATGAGAGAAATGCACACGGTGTGTCACAGAGTGGATAATGAGAAAGTTTTTCCTTTTCTAAAAGTGTGCCACACTCGCTGTATTACAGTATATGGGCCAGTTTGAAGCCCTCCACCTTTTCAGCACTCACATATGAAAGCGAAAGATGAATACAATCTGAAAAAGCCGACAATGGCTTTAAATAGTTCGTAAACAGGCCCGGTGAGACACCTACCAGGGATCTCGACCTCCATAAGTGAGAGAATCTTGAGGATGAAGATGGGAATCCAGCACAGCGAGTCGGTGATGACGATGGAGAAGAAGCGCTTGGCGATGGTCAGCTCTTTCTTAATGTGGTTGCTGTATTTGGTGGTCTGCGTTCCTGTCCTCTGGATATTGTAAAACATGCTTCCGTAAGACAGCACGATGATGAGAAAAGCCACCAGATTGAGACCTATTTGGAGACAGGATAAATCTCTGACATGATATATAAAAGGCGATGACCTCAATATAGCACATAAGTGGCACAATAATAGACTTTGAACACCTTTCAGCTCAGGAAAGATTAGGTTATTGTTGGGATGACTGGAGTCCAGGACATTTCTCCACTGATTCGTAATCTAAACTCTGACCTCTCCTTGTGACCTTTATCATATAAACAAACTGAGAAACACTTCATGATCAGGATGAAGAACTGAAGCTGCAAATATAGGAAAGATACTGAAAAATCACTGGATAAATATCCGTACATTAGCAGTTTTCTGTATTTTTTTATTCATGTTTTTAATTTTTATTCTTCCCCATTTATTCATGCTTTTGAATTGTATTATGGGCATGGGTGGAAAGAGTACTGAAAATCATTCATTCATTCATTCATTCATTCATTTTCTTGTCGGCTTAGTCCCTTTATTAATCCGGGGTCGCCACAGCGGAATGAACCGCCAACTTATCCAGCAAGTTTTTACGCAGCGGATGCCCTTCCAGCTGCAACCCATTTCTGGGAAACATCCACACACACATTCATACACTACGGACAATTTAGCCTACCCAATTGACCTGTACCGCATGTCTTTGGACTGTGGGGAACACCGGAGCACCCGGAGGAAACCCACACAAACGCAGGGAGAACATGCAAACTCCACACAGAAACGCCAACTGAGCCAAGGATCGAACCAGCAACCTTCTTGCTGTGAAGCGAATGTGCTACCCACTGCGCCACTGTGTCGCCACTGAAAATCATACTCAAGTAAAAGTACCATTACTTGTCTAAAAATGTAGTGCAAGTAAAGTAAAAGTATTTGTTGTAAATATTACTCAAAGTGTGAGTAAAAAGTAGACCTTTCAAAATTACTCAATAATACTGAGTATTACGCTGTGAAAAGCAGATGCATTTACATGTAGTGGAGTAAAAATACCGATACAGCAATAAAAAAGTACTCAAGGGAAAGTAAAAATTCACGTTTTTAAAACTACTTAGTAAAGTAAAATTTCTGAGAAAAACTACTCGATTACAGTAGTTTGAGTATTTGTAATTTGTTACTTAACAACACTGGTTATGGGATCTTGATCTTTCTTCTGACAACTTTTAATCTTGAAAAGTTTGAAAAATTGACTTTTGTGAAAATCTTTAATAGTTTACAGTGATTTATTGTCAGGGTTTGTGTTGTATATTACTCTACAAAAACCTTGTAATAAACTACCAGTATTTTCTGTTATTTTAAAAACTTATTTCTCTAGACATTATTTCTTATACATTATATTATTTCAAACTACTAAAATGTTGTTAAAAGTCACTTTTTTTCAATTGAAAGTTGAATTTTCGACATCAAAAGTTGACAGAGCAGAAATCAACATCCCATAATGCAATTCACAACTGTAAATATACGGATAACACAATCACAAAATTTCAGAAACTTAATTAACAGATATTTTTTTACAGTGTAGCCTGAAAGAAGGTTTTTTTTTTTTTTACTGTAATCGTGATTAGCAGAAGTCACATATTGAGTGTGTTACCCTTTGTAATGAACAAACTTTCGAAATAGAATCATGGCAGAATTTTGTTTGACGCAGGGCACTTACGGCCAAATGTAACAAACCTCTGAAGTGATATGAGAAATAAACTCATTGGGAAAAATTTGCCCAGGTGTACATTTTTGAGAACCAAGAAATTAGTGCTCATGGGTACATACACTCACCAGCCACTTAACTAGGAACAACTTACAGTATAATTACTGGGTTGGACCCACTAGGTACTGGAAATATTTTTCAGAGATTTTGGTCCACATTGACATGATAGCATCATGCAGTTGCTGCAGATTTGTTGGCACATCCTAAATGTGCTCTCTTTGAGATCTGGTGACTGTGGAGGCCATTTGAGTACAGTGAACTCATTGCCATGTTCAAGAAACCAGTCTGAGATGATTCCTGCTTTATGACATGGAGCATTATCCTGCTGAAAGCAGCTATCAGAAGATGGTACACTGTGGTCATTAGGGGTGGACAAGGTCAGCAACAATACTCAGGTAGGCTGTGGCGTTGACACAATGCTCAATTGGTACTAATGGGCCCAAAGTGTGCCAAGAAAATTTCCCCCACACCATTACACCACCAGCAGCCTGAACCGTTGATACAAGGCAGGATGGATCCATGCTTTCATGATGTTGGAGCCAAATTCTGACCCTACCACCTAAATGTCACCGCAGAAATCGAGGTAACATTGCCACATCATTTTCTTCCCCTCTTGAATGTGTCTACATGCCTAAATGCATTGAGTTGCTGCCATGTGATTGACTGATTAGAAATTTGCGTTAACCAGCAGTTAGACAGGTGTACCTAATAAAGTGGCCGGTGTGTATGTTTGTATTTTATGTGTAAAACCAAGGCTACGAGGTGGTACTGCTGACCGCTTACCTACATATGGATGACTTTTTCAGCATGACTGGTTTGCTTTGTAGCTCACTGCTAAAGTCGCTAGACTTGGGAAGTGAAGTGGAACAGGGTTCAAGTTCAGGGGTTTCAAAGCCAGGTAAACCAAAAACCAAAAACAAGCACGTGCCCACGAGATTGCTTTTGAAAACACTATCAAGTTTGCTTTCACTTTGTAGTTTGCTTTTAAAAACACTCTCGGTTGAGTTTAGGGAAGGGGGTGTGTGGGTCAGTTATAATCAAGCTGATATATTATACATGGCAAGCCGACCAGCTTCTCTCACAGATGCACAAGACAAGGATGTTAATATGTGCAAAAACGTATATATCCCTCAAGTGGATTTACGAGAAATGGCACAGTTACATGCTTCAGATTGTCATAATTGTGCACAGCACCCTCTAGTGGAATGTGAAAACATAACCTGCAAGAAGATGTAGTCCAGGGTACATATTTGTTGGTTCTCAAAAAATGTAGTTCTGGACACTTATCTCCAATGAGCTTGAGTTGTAGCGCACAGCAGCGGGGACGAAGATTGAGAACCACTGACTAAAAGAACACAATGAACATACCTAGAAAGATGACGATGGAGTAAATCTGAGCTCCGAGTGTCTCCGGCTGCTCCGAGTGCAGAGGAAAACACACTCCGTTTGTTCCATAGAAGTTTCTGAAAACGCCTTTAAAGAGCAGAGGCAGGAAGGCGATAATGAAGCCCAGAACCCAGATGACCACGAGGATGGTGACAGTGCGGCGGCGGCCGGGCGTCAGGTAGCGGAATGGGTACACGATGCAGATGTACTTCTCCAGCGTGAGGTACGTGAGCAGCAGCACTGACACCTCGGTGGACAGCATGGCCAGAGAGCCGATCACCTGACAGGCCTCACTGTCCATCCAGGCCTGAGCGTGACGGTTGTACTCGCCGCGAAACTTCAGGTCATACGCGCCGATCATGAACAGATAAACACCCATCAGGCCGTCTGCACCTGTGCAGGACAGAAATACAGAGGAGTTTGGAATGACAATGGTTCACCAACTAGAAGGCAATCTACACATCACATTCGCCACAGAACTGGACTATAAATCCCATCATGTCCTGCTGTCACACACCAGTTTCTGCTTATCTGCTGATTACATACACACAGCTGCAGTTCATTCACCACTGATGACATGGACTATAAAGAGACCATTCACACACACATCCATAGCTAATTCTTTTATCACTGTTCTTGTGCATGTTTTGATTTTGGACTGTTTTGGGATTTGTGAAGTGTTTTCTGCCAGCCCTGACCATTGACTGTCTTTCTGGATTACTCTATTGAATTACACTTGTTGTACCAATTGCTTCTGTCTAGGGTTGTGCCGATAGACCTTAGTATCATGTATCTATGATAGAGCTGAAACCTATGACGATTTTAAAGACAATATTTAGCTCGTTTTGCATTTATGTAGACCTATTACATGTTTTAAATGCATTATTGAATAAAACGAATAGTATTATTATTTCTAAACATCATCATCAATAATACAATAATGACAAATTTTATTTAGCTTCAGCTGTTCACATCAACATCACCTGACCAACACTTTCGGACAAATATGAATTATTCTGATTGCTCTCTTGTGCTCTCTCTCTCTCTCTCTGTCTCAGTAGCAGCAGTTGAAGCGCGAGCTGCACGTGAGGGCACAGCCACATCTCATAGTAAATTAGTTTGCAACTTTGTTGCATAAAAATAATAGGCTGAATAACAAAACTGGATTTAATTAACAAACAAGTTAAATAAAGTGATTTGTAAAAATGCAACAACTGAAAAAGAGAATGAAAGAACTCTGAAATCAGCTCTGTAATAAAACGTGTTGAGGTCGTTGATCGTTGAAAAGTTTATCTTTTATATCCGTTATTAATAGCCTATTTACGTTTTAAGGGGACATTTAGCCTATTTTTTCAGTGACCATTGCTTCAAATACACGAAATATACATACTTGTGTTATTTGTATTTAATTCGATAGAATGATCAACACGGACATGAGCATTTTTCAGAAAAATAACCCATTTATTTAATTTAAAAATATGTTTGGTCTATATTTGTATAGCCTAAAATATATTTTATTTATTTAAAGTAGCCTATATGAAATTAAAATCAATCTGTATTTTACCATTCGTTTTGGCATTAAAGAATTATTGAACAGACTATTAAGAACTTATCACTGAGTTCATGTCAAATTTTTAAGTTAAATAGGCTTTTTAATATTAGGGCAATAGGCTAATGCCGACTCGCCGCAGCCATGTCTAAAATGATACTCTTATCAGAAAACAATAAACACATATGTTCTACAGATCTTAGCAAATACAAATGTGACACTGTTGATGATTACTTTTGTGATTGATTAGACCTTAAGCCGCACCGCGCTCAACTGAATAAAGACAGGAGCTGCGTCCCAAATCGCATACTTATGCACTATTTTACGCCATTTTGTAGTATAAATAGTGTAAGTAGTGTGTTCACATTGAAAACTCTCAAAATAATAAGTGCACTTTAATTACCCGTATGATGCACTCATTCAGCCGCTAAAATGAAGTGTGTAATGATGGACACTTCACGCACTCAACGACCGCAGGTTTGCTTACGTAGCGGAAGGGGCGGAGCTATTGGACGCACATGTTGTAAAACTTTATTTATTTTGGATGGTGAAAGCAAAATTCTTCTACGAGAGTGATTATAGCGCCTCCCGATGGTGAATGCGGCAATACTCACGGCAGGTACTATTTGATAATTCGGTCGTTTATTTCACTGATTTGGCAACAGTCAAAAGTCATCAGGGAAACGGTTTGAATTTCCTCTTAGTAAAAAAACATTAGCTGCGTTCCAAATGGCACACTATGCACTATGCACTCATGCACTATGTACTTATGCACTTACACACTCAACAGGATAGTACATGTATGTAGTGGCGTCCCAAATGGCACACTAATGTTTTTTTACTAAGCGGAAATTCAAACCGTTTCCCTGATACAACAACAGCAACTTTTCCAGCTGGCACTCGAACCAATATCCTTCTTGCTCTGAGATGACAGTGCTAACCACTGAGCTACCTGGTCGCCCTTGTAATGTTATATTTTAAAATCAGCATATAAGCAGGATTTCCGAAAGATCATTGAGTTAGGGTGGTGAAATTGATGCTTTGAACCCTCATGAACGTATCTAAAGAGTTATTTTAGATCATACTGCTGTTTTTAATAGCCGATTTCCAAATCGAAATCATAAACAACTCCCGAGCTGAATGCAAAAAAAGGAATGAAAGGTAAGAAAGGGAAATGTTGCTGCATCTGAATGTCACATCTACACTTCAAAGTGGACACTGTGAGCAACTGACTTCCATGTTTTCTGAATGAGGCGACACGAGCTTAAGGGCCCATGGCAGCGCTTCTGGAGAATACAGATGATCAGAGATTCTCCTATCGACTTATTTAGCACACATCGAACAGCAGAAACCAACGGTAAATTTCAACGGTAAAAAACTGTAATAATGCTACTGTACAAATCCGTAACCTGGTTAACGGTATGTTTCCTATATATATATGGCGAATAACCGTAAATTGACTTTCCCAGAATCCCCTGCATGGCACAAAACTTTTTATGCATTTGGTTGACATTATTATGGATCTTTTTAGTTGTTTCCCCATCAGTTAAGTACATTAGAGATTTATGTTACGTCTAATATTGATAAGCAATGTTTATTTCATGACTTTAATTTTATGCGTGTTACCATACTGGTGTTTAATAGCTGTGTGAATGACACTGAGCACCTTCTATATGCTGATACTCTTTTCTGCTTGTGGGAAAAGTTGATTGTGATGAGCATTGGCTCATTATGTAACTTCCTCATCACCGCCTGCATGTGGGTGTGCTAACGTGTCTAACTGTTTAACAAATGATGTGTAAATGTTGATCATTCAAAATACAGACATTTTACTTCTATAAATTAATAAAATACGGTAATTTTTTACCGTAACTTTTACGGTTTGTACCGTATTTTTAACGGTAAAGTACTGGCAACCACAGCTGCTGGTTTCTTACCGTAAATTTTATGGATTTATTTTTTACAGTGTGGAATATAAATGAAGACAAATAAATAAAAACAGCTTTTGCTTTGTACAGCAGTGGTGAATTTTCTGGATGTGTCACGGATATAAAAGAAAAAAATCTGTCACTGGGGCTATTTTTTTTTTTCAAAAGTAAAACAGGTGAACATTTAAAACGGTTTGCTTTTGAAACTTTAGGGCTCTATTTTGACATCCTGATTGAAATCTACTTCGGAGTACCCTTGACCTCAGATTGAGGCGACGGTTCATCTTTCATCAGGACAATGACCCAAAGCACACCGCCAAAATATCAAAGCAGTGGCTTCACAACTCAGTGAATGCCCTTGAGTGGCCCAGCCAGAGCCCAAACCTAAATCCTATTGAACATCTCTGGAGAGATCTGAAAATGGCTGTACACCGTCGCTTCCCATCCAACCTGATAGAGCTTGAGAGGTCTTTAAAAAGACTTGAGGCCAGGACTTAACATTAACACCCGCCAACTCGCCAAATGCGGGTTGATTTCAGCTTTGGCGGGTTAGACAAACGACCCCACTAGCCACTTTGGCTGGTTTCTTAAAAGCAGGTTTCGACAACATAAGGATGACCCAATATGCATGCAAATGTGATTTTAGAATCGAGAAGCAGCACGACTGACAAAAATAATCACGCTAGCAGAAGAAAGCAAGTCAATACCGAATGGGAGGATGATGATCACTCGCGCTAACAGCTGATGTGAAGTGCGCGACTGCTGAAACACGTGCACGCTCTCGTTTCCTTTCCTGAAGCAACCGTGTCTGGAAACACAACTGTGGGCGGTTCTCTTTCTAATAGACTGGACAAAACATGATGAACATGCACCCACAGTCCTGCTGCTTTCAAGAGCTCAAAATATGTCTTTTTGCTTTCACTTTGAACAGATTATTAATTGGCCTAAAGTTAACCTTCATCACACATGGTATGTTTTTCACCTGCTTTCATTTGATTACGGTTTTATTTGCTTTTATTTTTGTTATTATGGTTTTATTATAATTTTTTTTACAATATTGCTTTAATGGGAGATTAACTCTCCATTTATGTGTAGTACTGGTGATCCGAGTGATCTTTAGCCAGGACAGATTACTGTGCATAGTTTTGAATACATGACAGTAATTATTTTTTTAAAAGTCAATGGACCCTTCGCTAAGCCCCGCCCTCCTTAGTTACCTGTCAAGCTTTCGTGCCTGGCCCGGCTTTTTCAATGCGTGTGCGCCGGTGTCAGACATTGCCAGGGATATAATGTCATTTTTGGCAAACAGGTGAGATATCCGAGAAAGCCTGACAAAAAAAGGACTCATTTATTACAGGAATATATTTACGAAATAATAGGCAACCGATTAGAGAATAAATCAATTAAAATTGAAGCTAGCTTAGCCTAGCCGCCTCATATGCTAATCATTCAACAGCTTAGCTTATGCTCAGCAGGAGAGGTGACGTTTAATAATAATCTAATAATAACAAATTAAACCGTGATTTCTCTATTTTTCGCCAAAAAGCCTGACAGATTAATTGGTGTGCAATGAAATATAGCGTCACTAACCGACGAGGAAACACGCATGACAGTGCTTTTACATCGTTCATTCATAGAAAGAGCAGCCAGAAAAGGGAAACTGATGGATTTGTGCCGAATATTAGCATCATCGACCCATAACAATGTACAGTAAGTTACATATTACTGTCAGTGTGTTTATGTAATCTTTATAAATGACTGAAAAACAGCTGCTGGTAAAGTATATTGATCGTAAGTGCTCAGTTTGTGATCATATCTCGGTTTTGTTCTGTTGATTTATAATTTCAAATATTTGTAGCTTGAAATAGATGGAAATATGAAGTTCAGTAAAGTTAGCAACAGATTCGCAGATTCGTAATTTACGGATCAATAACTCATTTCGTTATGATCTATTTACTATTAGTAAGACTATGTTACTAACGTTATGGCGAAGGCTTAAATGGAGCATTACTCACAATATCGAGCGAAAAAAAGAAATAAGACAGCTGTGAAACACAACCAGCTTTATGTTTTTGTAGGAAACATAGTTTGGATCTGTTTAGGGTAAGAGGTGTGTGAGTCATTGCTGTCAGTATACCACTGAATGTTTCAGGAATATCAAAACAAAACCAACTTAGCTCCGCTCCTTTAGCGCCCCTCACACAGCTTGATTCACGCTGGCATTTCTCCTCTTGGGTTTTAGGTTTGAAAAGGGAAAAAAATTCCACCATCCCGTCCAAACTTTAAGGATACTGACTATTAGATTTGCACAATCCATATGCACTCGCTCGAAAGCTTGACAGAGCCCCTGCGGGTAGCTACAGTTGCTAAACCACGATTGGTGGGTGGCAGTTTTTGGGTGTGGCTTAGCGAAGGGTTTCTTAGTTTTTTATGAAATGTTTTGTTAAATAAAAAGTATAGTATACAGCTATAGCTTGGTTTGACATTTAACATTTGTGGCTAAGAAATAATTATTGTTTGGTGTGGTCAGAGATAAATTCGGTAAATTCTTCATTTTGAGCTCTGGAAAGTCTTCTGAAATAAAAACTAATTGTAATACGACACTATGAAACCACAACCCATTTGCTCATGCGCATTGCGCAAGCTCATACACGACACACACAAATTGAAATGAATGAGGAGGCATGGGGACATAACACAAAATTTAAATCAAGTATTTTAGCATGTCAAAGTCAAATTTATGCATATAAAATATATTTTCCCAACAAGAAAATTATGGCTAGTGAAAATGCAGTGGAGGCGAGGCAGTGGCGCAGTGGGTAGCACGTTCGCCTCAAAGCAAGAAGGTCGCTGGTTTGAACCTCAGATCAGTCGGCGTTTCTGTGTGGAGTTTGCATGTTCTCCCTGCTTTGGCGTGGGTTTGCTCCGGTTTCCCCCACAGTCCAAAGACATGTGGTACAGGTGAATTGGGTAGGCTAAATTGTCCGTAGTGTATGAGAGTGTGTGTGAATGTGTGTGTGGATGTTTCCCAGAGATGGGTTGTGGCTGGAAGGGCATCCGCTGCGTAAAAACTTGCTGGATACTTGGCAGTTCATTCTGCTGTGGCGACCCCGGAATTAATAAAGGGACTAAGCTGACAAGAAAATGAATAAATGAATGAATGAAAATGCAGTGGCTAGTAACGTTGGAAAACTACTATAGCCACAGTGGCCGGTGATCAAAAAAGTTAATGTCAAGCCCTGCTTGAGGCTGTAATTGCTGCCAAAAGAGCATCAGCAAAGTATTGAGCAAAGGCTGTGAATACTGATGTAGATGTGAATTTTTAGCTTTTTTATTTTTTATAAATCTGCAACAATTTAAAAAAAAACCTTTAACACATTGTCATTATGGGGTATTGTGTGTAGAATGTAGAGAAAATAAATGAATTTAATCTATTTTGGAATAAGGCTGTAGCATAAATAAATGTGGAAAAAGTGAAGCGCTATGAATACTTTCCGGATGCTCTGTAGATGAATCCATGATGAATTCAGATGAATAAATGAATCCATGTAGGCTAAACTGCGTTCAGAGGTATAGAAAACACACACAAAAAAGAATGCATATAAAGTTGCATGAAACTAACTGCGTGTGAAATTGCTTTTTGACACAAGGAGATGATGGGCAATCTTAAACACAGCGTATGGTGACCCTGAAATGCATTTCAGACACACTTGAGCACTTTAAAATGCCATTGCCATAGATCCAAAGTGTCATCTTACAGCATAAAGAGATGATGCACATGGCGTGGAGCTTGTTCTCGGAGCGGATGTAGGAGCGCATGCAGATCACAAAGATGTTGCCGAAGCATGTTGTTGCTGAAACCACCCAGACGAAGACACGCAGCACGATGTTGGCCAGAAGGTCCTCGAAAGACGAGATGCCGTCAGTGTTGGGTTTGCAGCTGCGGACGTGAGGAGCATAACCACAGTACTGGAACTTTTTAAAGTAGCTGAGGAGAAAGACAGAGAAAACATGATCAGATTATTACTCTGAATGGTTAGTTTGTGTGTGCAAATATATAAAAAAAAACCATCCATCCTTTCCTCCATCCATCCCTCCAGCCATCATTTCATGCATCATTCCATCTCTCCATCCCTCCGTTGATCCACCCACCTTTCCATCCATCCATCAATCATACTAACCATCCCTCCATTCACACACAACAAACATCCATGCATCCATCCATCCATCCTTTCATCCATCCATCCATCCATCCCCATCCATCCATCCGTCAGTCTGTCCATCTGTCTGTCCGTCCATCCATCCATCCAGTTATCATTTCATCTATCCATCATTCCATTTCTCCATCCGTCCACCCACCTGCCCATCCTTCCATCCATCAATCATTCTAACCATCCCTCCATTCATCCATTTATCTATTTACACAAACATCCATCCATCATTCCATCTGTTCATCCATCCATCCGTCCATCCATCCATCCATCCATCCATCCACCCATGCATCCATCCATCTAATTCATCTATCCATCATTCCATTTCTCCATCCGTCCACCCACCTGTCCATCCTTCAGTCCATCAATCATTCTAACTATCCCTCCATTCGTCCATCCATCTATTTACACAAACATCCATCCATCATTCCATCTGTTCATCCATCCATCTATCCATCCATCAATCATTCCATCTGTTCATCTATACATCCATCCATCCATCCATCCATCCATCCATCCATCTATCCATCCATCTGTTCATCCATCCATCCATCCATCCATCCAGTCATAATTTCATCGATCCATTTCTCCATCCATCCACCTACCTGTCCATCCTTCAGTCCATCAATCATTCTAACTATCCCTCCATTTGTCCATCCATCTATCTACACAAACATCCATCCATCCGTCCATCCATCATTCCATCTGTTCATCCATCCATCATTCCATCTGTTCATCCATCCATCCATCCATCCATCCATCCATCCATCCATCCATCCATCCATCCATCCATCCATCCATCAGTTCATCTATCCATCCGTTCACCCATCCATCCATCCACACATCAATACACCTATCCATCCATCTTATCGATCATTCCATCTATCCAATCATCCCTACACCCATCATTCAAGTCATCCATCCATCCATTTACCTGTCCATCCACCCACCTATTCACCCACCCATCCATCCATCCATCCATCTGTTCACCCATCCATCCATCCACACATCAATACACCTATCCATCCAACTCATCGATCATTCCATCTATCCAACCATCCCTACACCCATCATTCAAGTCATCCATCCATCCATTTACCTGTCCATCCACCCATCTATTCACCCACCCATCCATCCATCCGTTCACCCATCCTTCCATCCACACATCAATACACCTATCCATCCATCTCATCGATCATTCCATCTATCCAACCATCCCTACACCCATCATTCAAGTCATCCATCCATTTACCTGTCCATCCACCCATCTATTCACCCACCCATCCATCCATCCATCCATCCATCCATCCATCCATCCATCCATCCACCCATCCATCCATCCATCCATCCATCCATCCATCCATCCATCCATCCATCCATCCATCCATCCATCTATTCACCCATCCATCTATTCACCCATCCATCCATTTATCCATCCATTTATCCATCCATTTATTCATCCATCCATCCACCCATTCATCCATCCATCCATCCATCCATAAATCCACCCACCCACCTTAGTGTCCCAGTCTTTAATTATTAATCCATTCATTGATTCAGTCATTTTCCTTTGCCTAAGTCTCCATTTCAGAGGTCACCACAGTGGAATGAACTATTCCTGCATATGTTTTACACCCTTTCAGCTGCACCCATGTACTGGGAAACACCTACACACACACATTCACACACTCATACACTAAGGCCAATTTAGTGTATTCAGTTCACCTATAGTGCATGTGTTTGGACTGTGTGGAAAACCAGAGTACACGGAAGAAACTCACACTGACACGGGCAGAACATGCAAACTCCTCACAGAAATGACAGCTGGCCCAGCCAGAACTTGAACCTGCAAGATTCTTGCTTTGAGGCGACAGTGCTAAACACTGAGCAACCGTGCTGAATTAGTTATCAATGTAATAATCAATTAATATCTTTCAGTATTTACTAAAGCACAAGATGGTAACCATCACCTTAAAGCTCAACTATTGTCCTCTATGTTTCTGCTCTGAACACATAATTGCTGTCGCTTACAAAAACAGGTCTGTATAAGAGTAAAACAAAAGAAGAGCATCCGAATTCACACGCATACTTTCAAAAACAAAAAAAACCAAAACCCACTCCATCTTGACCTGACAAGAAACATTAAAAAATGACGTCCAAGATTCACAGAGCGCTCTCATTTTTCCACCGTGTGAATTATGAACTGCAAAATATGCAAAGCAGTAGGACACAATAGTGCGTCTTCAAGTAGCTGAAAAGATTGGAAAGGGAATTGCAAACACTCCAATATATATTCCAGACACCCTTGTATTTTATTTTCATGTTTCAGGCAATACATCATAATCACGGACAATTACTTCACCAGGTCGTGGGAGAAATGAAAAGACAAAACATCAGTCGATTTCTAAGATGAGATCTAAAGAGTTTGTCTTTATGCCGCACAATGGCTCAGTGGTTAGCACTGTCGCCTCACGGCAGGAAGGTCGCTGTTCAAGTCCCGGATGGGCCAGTTGGCATTTCTGTGTGGAGTTTGCATGTTCTCCTCATGTTGATGTGGGTTTCCTCTGGGTGCTCCGGCTTACCCCCACAGTCCAAACACATGCGCTATAGGTGAACTGAATAAGCTAAATTGGCCGTAGCGTATGAGTGTGTGTGTGAATGAGTGTATATGTATGTTTTCCGGGACTGGGTTGCAGCTGGAAGGGCATTCACTGTGTAAAACATATGCTGAAATCAACCCAAGCTCATTCTGGAAACGTAGCCCCGCGGATTTCTGGAGACCGCGATTTACATGGCCGGAGGTACGTAAGGCCGCGTTTAGTTTTTTTCGAGCGAACGCTGCGGGGCGGTGTGGCGCCGCTCCGCCCCTCCTCTTCGCGCTCGCCGGCCGACGGCTCGTCTTCGAGATGGCAAACCACCTTTTTCCGGTGGAGCACCAATGGCCTCGGACTTGGAGGTGCTGATTCTCATCCCAGCCGCATCACATTCGGCAGCAAACCGCTCCAATGCATGCTTAAGGTCCATGTTCGATGAAGCCAGAACAACAGAACAACATCATCTGCGAACAACAGAGATAAAATCCTGTGGTCCCCGAACCGGACCCCCTCCAGCCCAAGGCTGCGCCTTGAAATTCTGTCCATAAAAATTAAGAATAGAATTGGTGACAAGGGGCAGCCCTGCCGGAGTCCAACATGCACTGGAAACAAATCTGACTTATTGCCGGCAATGCGAACCAGACTCCTACTCTGTTCATACAGGGATGAGACGGCCCTCAACAAATCGCCTCTGACCCCACACTCCCCGAGCACCCTGCAAATGCTGATTTAACATCAACATTTAATTGTTCCATATTGCAATACAATACAATCACATAATATCAAAGCTCTCCCACATTTTAAGCTATTAATACTGCCCTTATTTCCATTTTTGATATAAGATTGCAGAAGAATGCTGTGACTAGAAATGTACAGTTTTTTTACCATCATGCTGATAACTTTTTAGTTACTCTGCAAAACTACAGTTCAAACCGCTGTGGTTAAAACCCATTCCTACACCTCCTCCTTCATCTTACCCCAGACATGCTCAATAATGTTCATGTCTGGTGACTGGGCTGGCCAGTCATGGAGCACCCTGCCCTTCTTTCCTTTTAGGAACTTTGATGTGGAGGCTGAAGTATGAGAAGGAGCGCTATCCTGCTGGAGAATTTGCCCTCTCCTGTGGTTTGTAATGTAACGGGCAGCACAAATGTCTTGATACCTCAGGCTGTTTATGTTGCTGTCCACTCTGCCGATCTCTCGCACACCCCCATACTGAATGTAACCCCAAACCATGAATTTTGCTTTACCAAACTTGACTGATTTCTCTGAGAATCTTGGGTCCATGCAGGTTCCAATAGGTCTTCTGGAGTATTTGTAATGATTGGAATGCAGCTCAACAGATGATTGAACACACAAATCGACCTTCTGTCACTTTTCCAAATGATCAACTAGAAGTCAAGTGTTTATTTGTTGCTCTTACAACTGGGATCGATGATAAGACTTTTTCAGGTCGTGAATGTACTGTAAAATATTCAATAGTTTTTACAATGCAACTTTAAAACACAAACATACTGCATAACTGTCCTACAGTAAAATACGGTTCATTTCACAGTTAAATAGTGTAGAATTTAGAAAAAATTGTTGTGTATGAGCTTGGCAACTTTGCAAATCTCATCTATGAACAAAGCAATATTCATTATAGATAGACTTATACACTAAATGAAAACATCACACGACTTCTTTACTTTAAACTACAAGATCTGATGGAGACGTTCAGTTGTCAGACAAATCAAGAAGAATTGAACATCAGTCTCAACATTTCATCATTCAACATCATAAAAGAACATCTCAATGGTGCGAGCTTCAGAAAGCAGAGTTTTCAATGCACTTTCAGAACATCGAGCATGCAGAAACTTACAGCATTTTGATATCGTAACTTTTAGAAAGCAGCACTCACATGTGAGTCAGGTTCTTGAGAGGTTCAAACATCCGTCTGTGAATGTTCCCAATTTCGATTCCCTCAATGCTCCTGTGACACAAACACACAAAAAAGCTTTCTCTCAGGGGTCGCATACAGAAAACCACCACAGCATTTCAGTATTCACTTTACAATGCTTTAGGACTCATTTCTCCTACAAATATGCAGTTTTGTGCCCAAGATGTTCTCTTGAAGTGTTTGAAGTATGACCTAAAAGCAGATTGTTTTTCTCGGTTTAGCAGAAGACAATGCTTATGCCGTACAGTTTTTGCTCCAGCCATTGTGTTGGGCTGAAAGACATTGGTAAACAGCGCATTACTGAAATTGCAAGCTTTTTCGGTGATGTCTCATGTGAAAGCCTTTTTTTCTAAAACCATACAGGCATAAAATGGGTAGAAAGTCTAGTCTGGTCACTATATTGAATGTGGAAAGTTACAATAGAGAAGATACTTCATGCTTTATCTGATTTAGCTTCAAATCCTTACACTAGATTCATTCATCCAACCATCCATCCAACTATTTACCCATACCTCCATCCATCCATCCTTCCATTCATCCATCCATGCATCTATCCATCGATCCATCAATTATCCCACCCTTTCATCCATCCATCCATCAATCCAACTATTTACCCATCACTCCGTCCATCCATCCATCCATCCATCCATCCATCTATCCATCCAACTATTTACCCATCCATCCATCCATCCATCCATCCATCCATCTTTCCCTCTATTCTTCCATTCCATCCATCCATCCATCCATCCATCCATCCATCCATCCATCCATCCATCCAATTATTTACCCATCCATCCATCCATCCAATTATTTACCCATCCATCCATCCATCCATCTTTCCCTCTATTCTTCCATTCCATCCATCCATCCATCCATCCATCCATCCATCCATCCATCCATCCATCCAACTATTTACCCATGCCACCGTCCATCCATCCATCCATGCATGCATGCATCCATCCACCCATCATTTCATCAATTATTCTATTCATCCATCCATCCAACTATTTACCCATACCTCCATCCATCCATCCATCCATGCATGCATGCATCCATCCACCCATCATTTCATCAATTATTCCATCCATCCATCCATCCATCCATAAATCCAACTAGTTACCTATGCCTCCGTCCATCCATCCACCCACCCATCCATCCATCCATCCATCCAACTATTTACCCATGCCTCCGTCCGTCCATCCATCCATCCATCCATACATCCATCCAACTATTTACCCATGCCTCTGCCCATCCATCCCTCCATCCATCCCTTCATCCATCCATCCCTCCCTCCACCCATCATTTCTTCAAATCCAACTATTTACCCATGCCTCCATCCATCCATTCATCCATCCATCCATCCATCCATCCAACATCCTTTTACCATGATTTACAGTCATCCACTAAAACATTCAGTCTAACAATCATTTAAATACACATTATAGAAGAATGTACAGTATAAAATGGCTTACAGTGACTTTAACTTATGCAGCTTGTCAAAGTGGTCCACCCGCAGGTTCATGATCGGGTTATATGAAATATTCCTATGAAAAATAAAAGAGGGAATAGTGAAATAATAAGAAATGCAGGTCAAATCATGGATCTACAGCAGATATAAAAAAATGTCATATGATGTAAACATCTCTGAATAAGAAATGTAAGAAATATCTAATCATTCATGTTATTTTGCCTTTTTCCCAAATTATTTATGCTTTATAATTGCATTATGGGACTTTGACCATTCTTTCAACAACTTTTAACCTTGAAAAGTTTTAAAAAGTTACTTTTATTAACATTTTTAATAGTTTAACGTGATATATTGTCTGGGTCGGTGTTGTATTTTTCATTACAAATACACTGCCAGTACATTTTCTGTTATTTTACAGACTTATTTCCCTATATAATATTTCTTATACATTATAATATTTCAAATGACTAAAATGTCAATCAAAGACACTTTGGTAAACTGTAGAGTTGAACTTTTAACATTAAAAGTCAACAGAGCAGAGATTAACATCCCACAATGCAGTTCACCACCGTAAATAAATGGAAAAACACTTGTGAATCACAAAATATGGAAACTGTTAATAAACAGGTTTGTTTTACAGTGAGGGTAGAAGCAAAAACACAAGGTGTTCATGTGCGTCTCTTTAAATGCAAATGAGCTGCTGCTCCCAGCCTCCTTTCCAGAAGGGGGCGGAGCCTTTACAGCTTGTGCTTCAGTTACTCAGATAAAAACTAAAAAACCATCCTCATGTCTTTTAAAGTCTTGTCCAAAACTCCTGATTTCTGGTGTTAACACAAAGTTGGTAACACTACAATAATAGTACATGAATAATGATGTACTAATAAGTAAACTACACATTACTGTATTATGAACTAATGATGAGTTAAGGCTAATCACAAACAAACTTCCTAGTACTGGTTGGCAGTTGGAAGGGCATCCACTATGTAAAAGATATGCTGTATAAGTTGGCGGCTCATTCTGCTGTGGCGACCACTGATGACTAAGGCGAAGGAAAATGAGTGAATGAATGAATGGAAGAGTCTCATGTGTGAATAACGGTGAGGAAGATTTTTATTCTCTCAGTATGAAGCATTATCTAAGTTCATACTATCTAAGAGTGTGCACACCAGCCTGTGGTAAATACACTGTGGTATGTCTGTGTAGGACAGGGGTGGCCAACCCTGTTCCTGGAGAGCCACCTTCCTGCAGATTTCAGTTGCAACCCATATCAAACACACCTGCCTGTGTGGTGCTCTCCAACATAGAAATCAGACATATGGTTAAAATATCCAATTTATATGACATATAAGATCATTTCTTATTTCATATTTCATTTATTTTATTTTCTGCTTAGTCCCTTTATTAATCTGGGGTCGCCACAGCGGAATGAACCACCAACTTATCCAGCATAAGTTTTACGCAGCAGATGCCCATCCAGCTGCAACCCATCACTGAGAAAATATGTCATATATCCAACATATAATTTGAATGTACTTCAACATATATTACACATATATATTTTTCAAACACTGGATAACAAATATGCACTGTACTGTATGTGTTCAAATATATAAGCTATAATTTTATTATGTATTTATATATTTATATATTTAAAAAAATGCAGTTGAATGTTTGAAAAAAAGGTGTAACTAGCCATTTTTGCAATTTTTTTGAAATGCATGTTATAGTTTGTCCACTCACCGGACACTTTATTAGGTACACCTGTCCATCTGCTCGTTAATGCGAATTTCTAATCAGCCAATCCCATGGCAGCAACTCAATGCATTTAGGCATGTAGACATGGTCAAGATGATCTGCTGCAGTTCAAAACGAGCATCAGAATGAGGAGGAAAGGGGATTTAAGTGACTTAAACGTGGCATGGTTGTTGGTGCCAGACAACAAGTCCAACCTTGAGGCGGATGGGCTACACCACCACCACACCGGGTGCCACTCCTGTCAGCTAAGAACAGGAAACTGAGGCTACAATTCAGACAGGCTCATCAACATTAGACAACAGAAGATTGGAGAAACGTTGACTGGTCTGATGAGTCTCAAATTCTGCTGCCACATTCGAACGGTAGGGTCAGAATTTGGTGTCAACAACATGAAAGCATGGATCCATCCTGCCTTGTATCAACGGTTCAAGCTGGTGGTAGTGGTGTAATGGTGTTGGGGAGATTTTCTTGGTACACTATGGACCCATTAGTAACAATTGAGCATCGTGTCGACACCACAGCCTTCCTAAGTATTGTCGCTGACCATGTCCATCCCTTTATGACCACAGTGTACCCATCTTCTGATGGCTGCTTCCAGCAGGATAACTTCCATGTCATAAAGCGGGAATTATTTCAGACTAGTTTCTTGAATATGACAATGAGTTCACTGTACTCAAATAGCCTCCACAGTCACCGGATCTCAATCCAAAAGAGAAATCCTTTGGGATGTGGTGGAATGGGAGATTTGCATCATGGATGTGCAGCAGACAAATCTGCAGCAACTGTATGATGCTATCAGGGCAATATGAAGCAAAATCTCTGAGGAATATTTCCAGTACCTTGTTTAATCTATGACACAAAGGATTGAGGCATTTCTGAGGGCAAAATGGGGTCCAACCCGCTACTACTAAGGTGTACCTAATAAAGTGGCCAGTAAGTGTATATGTTCAATTCAAATATTAATTTTTTTATCTAAATTAAATATGTTTATATGTATCCTTTTGCTATATGAGACTTACGGATGAAGAAAATAACACTCTTTGGCTTAAATTATGGAAAATATGTACATATTTGTAATTCCAATAGTTGGAAAAAAATATGTGCAAGTATTATAAATGTAATATATTTTCAAGTATCATATATTATATATATTTAAAAAATTATATGTTGAATATATGGCATATATTTCATAAATGTGAAATCCAAATATGAACTTGTATCTTGTATATGTAATTTGTATATATTTCTATGTATCAGTTTTGTGTGGCATTACTGATGTTGAAAATAGCCCTCTTTGGAGTAACTTTGGAAATTTTGTACATTTGTACATTTGTACATCTTGTACATTTTCTGAACTTACACGGAAACTGTGTCAACATCAAATAAAGCGTGAATTTATATTGGACTTAACAGAAAGAGCACGTTTGCAGAAGCCCAGAACACACTCCTGTCCGACAGCTGTTAGTTTAGCTCTGTTTGTAATGTGACTCACAGCTGCAGCAGGTCTCCGAGATTGACGAATAGATCAGGCGGGATCGCTTCGATTCTGTTACTGGACAAATCCCTGTGGAGACAGAAAATATTCACGCCTTCTGCATTCAAACAGGCATCTGTTGACAGAAGTGATGAGCAAGTCAAAACTCTTTGATGACTGACATCCCGTAACTGGCCCAGCAGGATGACAGACCGAAACTATGACTTTCGAATTGATAAGGAAGTCCATGAAATAAGGATTTCTGTTTATTTTTTTTGCTCCACAGAGAAATGGGTCATCATGACTAAACTCTGAACTAAAATGACTGTGAAATAATGTAAATATTGGGAATACACTGGGGCCGTAAAGTCATTGCAAACACTGCTGATAGAATATCATTTATTCAACAAAAGTTGGGACAGTGTGAAAAAACACAAATAAATTAAAAAAAGTAGTGATTTCCAGTTTTACTTTGACTTGTATCTCATTGCAGACAATATCACCAATGAAAATATTTCATATTTTATCTGGTCAACTTCATTTCATTTGTAAAAACACATCCTTTCCTGTCATTCAGACCTGCAACACATTCCAAAACAAGTTGGCACATGAGCAGTTTAGGGTTAGTAATCAGGTAAATTAGTTAAATAATAATGATAATTTTGATTGATCATTGATCATTTTAATTGGGTACAAAAGCAGCATCCAAGAAGGGGTGCAATGATTACCCGATTTCACTATTAATCACACTTTAATTCGTCACGGTTAATTCATCCTGATGGCTTCTCAACACCGCGTTTTTGCACAGAACAAAACTTCTGCAACTAAAAGTTATGCCAATGGTGGGCTAGCTTAAAGTTCTTGTACAGCGAGGCTAATACACACACACACACACACACACACGCAAGCACGCACGCACGCACGCACACATACACGCGCGCGCACACACTGGATTAGCTATGGCTGAGGCTATGAAGTAAGGGCTGTTCACATATCACGTCCACACTGAATCCATACGTGGACACATATTTGTTCTCTTTAAAAGTGAAATACTTACATTTACATGATTAAATACTTACAATAGATTTACTTTAGTCAGATACTATTTAAAAAAAAAAACTTTTATTACTTTTTAAAATTAATTAATTAATTTATTGTTCTGTTATTTATTTTTATAACATTACAAAGTGGTAAATGCTTTACTGCTGCAACGTTTTTTGAAATGTGTTGCAGGAACCAAAATTGGAACAGGTGTTTATTTAAGAAAAAATAATGAGGAACACATGAAATAATGTTCGTTGTATTGTCAGCTATGAAATACAAGTCAAAATAAATTTACAAATCGCTTCTTTCATTTTTATTTGTGTTTTCCACACTGTCCCAACTTGTCCTGATTTGGGGTTGCAATATGACTTTCAACTTGACAAGCAAATCCATGAAAGAAGGATTTCAGTTATTTTTTTTGCGCAGCACAGAAATGGGTCATCATGACTAAACTCCAGAGAGCACTTTGTGGTGATTATTTTTGCCGAACATTTATAAGGAACTTACAGCTCTCCCAGTTTCCGCAGCAGAGAGAAAGCTTGCGCGTGGATGCGACTGATGCGGTTCCGCTGCAGGACCCTGCAAAAAAACACAATCAACATTCATCTGGGTGCATGGAAACACATCCAGGCTTTCAGAGGGATGAAACGTGCAGGAAATACATAGCAGTGTCAAACACAGAAATCATTTCAGAAGGTGAACGGCATCTGACCTTTAATCTAGAGTCACTCTTGCATGTAATTAGAGAAATTATAATAGGCTAATATTGCATTATAGACATAATTGAAGTCCGAAGGAGCTGTTATTTTGATAAACACGCAAACGTTTCCACGTCATTTGAACAAAGCTTCAAAATGAACAAAAGAAGTTGAGGCCTATTATTGATAATTACTGAAACTGTTTTTTAATAAACATTGAAATTAAATAAGCACTAACCTAAACGCACACACATATGCAAAGGATAAAATAAGTAAAACAAAATTACTGAAAGCTGAAAATAATTTGGAACTGAACAGAAAATACATAAGTAAAATCAATAATAAACTTTCAATCATCTACAGTCATCTCAATAACATTGAAATAATACACATACACACTCAAACACACACATGCACGTATCCTCTTTTAGCCTATCTACCAAAATAACTACACATACATTTAGGGGGACGCCAAAAACATCATCAAGGGCCCATGCCAATTCCCCCTACCCCCCATCCACCCCCATCTCATCCCCAACCCACCCCCCCACCCCTCGCTCTTCAATTTTATCCATGATCCAACCGACCCCTTTCACCACTTTAATCAGCCATCCTAACATACCAATACATAACCCGACCCCCCCCCACCCTCACTTTCGTCAGCAATCCTAACACACCCCCCCCCCCAACTTTCGACTACAATCTGAAGAACCAAAATGAAGCTACATGTAGGTGTGGCCAACCGTGGCCATTTTGTTCGAATGTCAATGCGCCAACAAGGGGTGACCAAAAAAGGGCAAAAAGGCGGAGCATCAGTGGAGCTATAGATGCCTCTTAGAATTTTGCTTAGACGGGCTTTTCTTTGAGGGAAATGCTTAATCCTTCATTACCTGCGACACGTTTGTGTTCTGATTTGGTCAGACACTGTCTCGGTTATGAGAAGACAGAACAGTGGTTCAGTTATAAATCCATTCTGCATGATTCCGCCTATCCTGGCTTCTCTTACTGTACATTAATAAAATATACTGTTTAAAATTCAAATTTTTGTTCTACGATGCACTTGGTTAGCCTAGCTTTGACTGGATAGAGTCGAAATAAAGAACTTTCTTGGGAAAAACAGGAAATCTGGTCACCCTTAAGCCTGGTTTATACTCGATGTGTCAGCAAGTCCGAGTGCGAGTGGCTAATGTGATGTCATTTGCAGAGGTTCGATTTGGGTGTGCGTGACATGATTTTGGCAGGCGGAGCGCACAATTTTTTTTGAGACTCGAGCGAAGTTCACTCGGCACCATGTTTGATTAGAGTTGAATATGAAACACTTTGAAGAGATTTTGTCTGAAACAGTACGACTGTACAGACATCTTTATGATCCATCCATGCGTGATCATAGGTGAAACCAAATGACCAATAATTCTTAGTCAATTACAGAAATTTGTTTTTCCACAAGTTTTAGGTTTTACACTGATGTATATATAAAAATTTTGAATTTAAAACAACTAAATATTTACAAAACTATAATTAAGGAAGAAATTATTATCCTTTGATAACTAGAAATGAATATTTGAACCTATCGGTTTACAATATACTGATGCCTGTTTTTTTTGTGCTTATTGGTGTTCAAGAGTTCACACTTAGCTGATGATTGATAATAAAAATTGTTTGGCATGCTGTCCCAGGAGAGAGCCCTGAGCTCATAAGATCCTTGAGCCCGGGGCTCCCTCTCATTTGAAGGGGTGAGAGGGGAATTTGAGCTCAGGTAGATCTCGAGATCCCCCCTCCTGCTGCTTAAGGAATTCTAGGAGGGTGAGCTGCTGGTGGAATTTGACTATGGTGCTGATTTGGTTTAGTCAATTTAATTGCGTCTCATATTTTTGACTGTGGGAGGAAACCAGAGAACCCGGGGAAAACCCACGCGAGTATGGGGAGAACATAAACACCAGACCCGAACCAGAGGCATTCTTGCTGCAAGCAACAGTGCTATAGCCACTGGGCCGCCGTGCTGCCCTATAGAGGAAAAAGACGAGTAGAGGGGGTGGAAGGGGGGATTCTTCAAGAAAAAGATGACCAAGGTAAGATGCTTTGGTTAGTTATACTAAGTTAGGAAAATATAATTAAATGATAAAAAATGTGCTTATTATTATGACAAAAATTCCTCTGTAAAAAGATGAAAACTGTAAACCATAACACCAAATATAGATGTGAATCAAACACTGTCATTTGGTGTAAGTGCTGCTGTGAATATTCATGTAGACGTACATTTATCCAAAATTACAGCTGCAGTGAAGGATTAAAAAACTCATTTTGAGAAAACAACCTTTAAAATATACTGTATATATCGTAACAAATAGATGAGGTGTGATGAAATGAGCACTTAAAGGCAAAATGTTTTCTAAAAAAGAAATAAAGACTTTATGAAAAGACAAAATGCTCTAAATCTCAAATTTGACTGCTGCATAAGGGAAGTTTTACACATTGTTTTTGAAATTAGCACATTATATGATTGATCGTGACTGGTCTCTCATCCGTAAACAGCAATAATCTAATCTAAGCCTACAATAAATAGACTGATTTCATCCTACTGTCTTCTCGCCGTTTTGGAAGAATCTTCCAGTCCACCCCATCTCCTCCTTTTCCTCCGATTACCAGGGGGAGCTCTCAAGAACCTACATTATCTGATCTCAGACCCCCTTCTCATGCTTAATGACCAAGAGGGATTAATTCAGAGCTCTCCCAGGACAGCTAATAGATAGATAGATAGATTTGGCCAAAATAAGCAATATCTAAGTGTACTAAACCACTCCTAACTCCAAAACCAGTGTTTTTGTCTGCAGTGTCTCAACCTAATGTATTCACTATTTCGAATTCTCGAACTTTTCAATATATTGTTTTGGGAGAAAAACATTCATAAGGGCCATTTGACCTACTGTACCCTACATTTTAAACACTAAAATAGACTGCAAGAACCCACTGGGCTCATCTGACGGTTGAATACCCACTGAAATACTCACAGCACTGTTAGCATGTTACACGACCTGAAGGTCACGTTTCCCACCGTCTCCATCTTATTTCCCTCAATGTCTCTGCAAAACACAAATGGAACAAGGCTTTATTCAAGGAGAAGACATCAATTTTAGAGCACTATGGAATCAGTGTTTTTTATATTTCGTTCAAAATACATTTAATATAACCAGTCAATATTCATCAGTTTTATGAATGAATATACATTTAATAATATCTTAGCATACAAAAACAATTCCTAACCACAGTGAAACATACAATAAACATATCCTTTCTGCTTTACAGTTTTTAACAGCAATGATGATGCAGAAGCAACTGGATTCTATTTTTAAGTACTGTAATATGAAATTTATATTATAAATATCACGCTTTTTTGATTATTAATTAGATTAAAAAAATTAAAACACTTACATGTTGAAAAACTTATTTGATTGGCTGTGAATTTTTAAAGTAGTGTCTGCTGTGGATGTAATATTACAATTATAATACAATTTAATGTTTACATTTTTAATGTAAAGTGTTAAATATAGATATGTTGAATTTTTTTATTAATTAATTAATAATTTGACAAAAATACATTGTAGGACTTTTATTTACACAAATTGTCTTATATATATATATATACATACATATATACAGTAGGTGAGAGTTCAAAGTGGCTATTAACGCCGCGGCTGGTACCGCCGCCGTTTGAAATAGGTGCCGCTCTGTTTTTAGTGTATGACCGCAGTTTGTGAATGAGCCGCCAGGGGGCGCAAAGGGACGGGATGCGAACGGACAGAAATAGATCATACAGCTACTGTGGTTGTAAATGATATTAAACAATAAGTCATAGCATTATAATTCCTTCATTAATCATTTAAAATTTGTTAACACGCTTTATTGTAAACTTTTTAAGTGCAAAGAGGATTCGTTTTGGAAAATAGAATTGAAGAAGTAAAAGACAACTAAAATGAAAGCACAAACATTTAGTACAAATAAGTAGTCTTAAATAAATAAATAAATAAATAAATAAATAAATAAATAAATAAATAAATAAAGCAGCCTAAATATAGAAAGATGTTCAGTGTTTGCTATTTTGATAGGACTAAGACAAGACATTTTCATTTATGTTTTATTTCTGTTTTTATTTCCATTTTCGTTGTTGATTATATTTTACTATCTTATTTATGTCTCAACAATTGTACATAAACGAATAATAAACGAATAATGAAAATAAATGAATAATGAAAATAGGCCTAAATAAATTATTTATTTAAAGACATTGCCGTACAGTACGTGAAACACTGAGAAAAATAAATTGACCTACCTTAAGCAGATCACTAAAAGTATAATAAAATTATTTTTGCTGCAGGACATAAATTAAGTCTTGCAGGTTTATTTTTAATAATTTAGTTTCAGTTCTGTTCATTTTTTTTTCAAAACGTCAATGTTCTCCTTTAAAGTAGCTATAACTGTTGTTTTGTTTTTTTGTTTTTTTTTTTACTTATGGCTCAGTATGTTTTGTATTTTAACTTCATATTCAGTCACCTTGCAAATGTGTGTGAAATATAATGCCGCATAACCGCGGAAAAAGAAGAAAAAACTGTCGAAGGTTAGAGCTAATTCATCAAAATAAGCTATATTAAAATACAACATTTATGTTAATACAGGCAGAGTGTGAACAAACTCAAGGCTAAGATATGCGCTTGCCTTTTAATGCATTTGCGGCCTTTTTATAGGCTAAAGGAAACTATGTATAATAATGTTTTTTTTTTCTTGTTTTTTTTTTGTATGATAAGGGACAATACACATTATGTTATTGATGTAAACTTAGGCTAAAACTTACCATTGATAAACGTGACCTACCTCAAGCAGATCACTTAAAGTATAAAAAAATAAAGTAGGCTATATATATATATTCTTAATAAACTTCACAGCCACAAATATAAAAACAACTTGTATTAAAACTGGGCGAGGATTAGAAAGAATACGATGCTTGTTATATATAATTTAAATTTTGATTCCAATTTCTGCAAGCACATTTTTTCACTCGCTACTCTGCCAGAAACTTCGCCGCCGGAGAGCACCTCAATAATGTAAACATTTGTTTAAAGATGGAGCGCAAGATGTGCCGAGTGGCAACATGTGAAGAACGATGGCAAAGCTAAGTGTGATTATTGTAATAAACTAAGTTATAAAGCAGAGTCCCGACCAACAGGACTAAGCATATGCGGTTGGCTCATTCTTCACGAATATAGAATTAAAATAATGGCGCGTTAGGTTCACTAAGCAGCGCATTCTCTTTGCCTCATCGTTTAACCAGCGGGACACGCTGCTGAAGCAGGAGAGACACTCCGTCATTCATAATCTTAGCTGATGTATCGGAGTCGAAAGAATATATCAAAGAGGAATTTTCTTTTAACAGTCCCGATATGTTTAATCTTTTTATTTTATTTTTTTTTTTCGTGTCATTTCTCTTCAGCAAATTAGATATTTTTTAAAGCTGCTTGATTCTTTTAAAACCGAAAGCAGGGCCCATAGTGTTTTTCCATAAGATACTCCTTTATGAATGTTTTAATTTTTTTATTAAAGTTTTTAATGTGCTTTTTGATAGTTTTATTTTATTTCAAGCAGCATCTAAATGCGAATTTATCCTCAAAACTTGGCATGAGAGCGATGCAAGTCATGTGTGGCATAATTGCCTTTTTTCCCTGCGCGTGCGAGATCAATTTCTGATCTTTTTGCAACTAAAATGAAAGCATAAACATTCAGTACAAATAAGTAGTCTTAAATAAATAAATAAATAAATAAATAAATAAATAAAGCAGTCTTTTAACCTAAATATAGAGAGATGTTCAGTGTTTGCTATTTTGACAGGACTAAGACAAGACATTTTCATTTATGTTTTTATTTCTGTTTTTACTTACATTTTCGTTGTTGATTATAGTTTACTATCTCATTTTATGTCTCAACAATTATAGATAATAATAAACGAATAATGAAAATTAATGAATAATGAAAATAGGCCTAGATATATTATGTATTTAAAGACATTGCCGACATTGAGCTTAAGTTGAATGCAGCTTCATCAAAAGCAGAAAAAAATAAAATAATTTGACCTATTTTAAGCAGATTATAATAAAAATATTTTGCCGCAGGACATAAATTAAGTCTAGCAGGTTTGTTTTTTTAATACTTTAGTTTCAGTTCAGTTTTTTTTTTTCAAAACGTCAATGTTCTCCTTTAAAGTAGCTATAACTGTTGTTTTGTTTTGTTTTTTTACTTAATGGCTCAGTATGTTTTGTATTTGAATTTGACGCGTCAGAAAAAAAAAACCGCTGAATCTCTGCAAATATTTGGTTAACTTATAAAACAAATGTATGGTTTAGTGATGTTAGTAATGCATAGAAAAATGCAAAGCAGAATTATTAAAGTTATTATTTCATCGATCTGAACATAACCATTTATAATATAATTACTAACCCGTCGTCTAAAATATTAAAATAATAAAATAGTCTATTATTTTATTCATGGCTAGAGCTTAACATGCCATGTGCTTTTGTTTGTTTGTTCTCGGTACTGGGTATACGCAAAACATTTTCTAAAATGTCAAGCAGTATTTGTCTATAGAGCAGCATTTTGCTAATTATAATAGTCCTTTATATTTATATACATGTGTTTTTGCATATTCGTTATTTCACTTGATGCATTCGTTATTTAATGTTTGAATACTGAAATAAAAAGCCATCGTTTAAAAGGTTATTTCACCATCAAAATGTAGCCTGTTATATGTATCATTAACGTTTTATATAAAACTGCTGTGCAGTGTAAATGGGACCTTAATACAGTTTAAAGCGAAGTTGTCTGTAAGGATGATGGGCATGGCATGTCTATTGTTGTGGCTCGCGTTGTGAATATTAGAAAATAACTGTCGGGTGAAGGCTTTATGGTCGTGCGGAATTGTCTGCTGCTGTCATGGCTCAGCAGGCAACACCCTATTCAGCTAGGCTATGTTCGGTGTTTGTATGTACAAATTCGTTTTGGCGAATGCTAGAGCGTAATAGAGATATTTTAAATAACAAGTATAGTTCAGTCCAGAAGTTGCTGTGCATAGAAACATTCATTTTCATAAGGCCCCATTTGCGGTTTGGTTTTAAAACGCATAGGTTTTGCTACGGTTACGCCATCCGTCCTCGGGAGTTTTGGATTTTGTGTAACCATGTTTGTGGAAAACACTTGAGGGTGGAGACATACCCCTTCCCCCGTCTCATAACCAAAAGCTTGTCTTTCAGGTGTTAATGGGCATCGAGACCGAAGTCATGTCGCATTTCCACTGTCGGCCTATAGCTCGCAGCGCGTAACGCAAACCCAGCCCCCAGAACGTCCCCCGAGTGTTGGCATCGTGCATCCGTTAATAACTCGGTAGAAAATGTATTTTATAACATCCTCATTTAGACACAGTCAAACATTCAGCCCAAATGCACTGGAGAGACCTGAAACGTGTTCCCAAAAATGCTCTGTTTGCACGATTTGATTATTATCATCATATCCAAATACTTTATAAATAATATTCTTAACCTTCTCTGGTGTTTATTGTTTTTAGAAAATATCTAAAATCTTTTAAAAGAAAATATCTTGTAAAATAAAAGTTTGATTTGGCTTTAACGGTTTTATTTATGTATAGGCCTACCTAAACTGTTATAGCTTGCTTTTGCTTGTTTTATATTGGTTTATTTATTTAATGCGATTTTATTATATCCGATAATGTAATTCTTTAAATTATATTTCAATGTGGCTTAGGCTTATCAAGATATGACACTTGTTTTGAGTCTACAAAAGGTTATTTGTAAAGTGTTATGTCTTTCTGTTGTATTCATATGGTGTATTATCTGCAAAATAAATAACAAAAAGAAAGAAGCCGCTAGCAGCATCCACAGAGCTGTGAAGAGAGCGCTCTTTTGCTCGGTCTCTCACACACAACCTTTATGTCTGCTGTGTCTTTAATATGGTGTGTAGATTATTATGCGTTATTGAAACATCAAGGGGGACGCAGCAAAATCACTTATAAATTAAAATTGTA